AATGATTTTTTGGTTTTTTAGGGACAGTACAGCACTTTTTGCATGCTGATGCTCAAAAGTGCTGTACTGTCCCTAAAAAACCAAAAAAAGTGCTGTACTGTCCCTAAAAAATCAAAAATTCCTTGCCAGAAGGCGGCTTGTGTGCCCAAGACTGTTTTTGGAATGGTTTTTTAAATTTTTTAGGGACAGTACAGCACTTTCAGCCTCCAAAGCCTGGATTTTAGGGACAGTACACTTTCTGCATGCTGATGCTCAAAAGTGCTGTACTGTCCCTAAAAAACCAAAAAAGTGCTGTACTGTCCCTAAAAAACAAAAAAAAAAAAAGTGCTGTACTGTCCCTAAAAAACCAAAAAAGTGCTGTACTGTCCCTAAAAAACCAAAAAAAGTGCTGTACTGTCCCTAAAAAACCAAAAATCCTTGCCAGAAGGAGGTTTGTGTGCCCAAGACTGTTTTTGGAATGGTTTTTTAGGTTTTTTAGGGACAGTACAGCACTTTCAGCCTCCAAAGCCTGGATTTTAGGGACAGTACAGCACTTTCTGCATGCTGCTTCCATAAGTTCCATCTGCTCCCTGCTAACTTTTTTTCCAGAAGGCTGTCCACACAAACCATCTGTAAGCATCTGCTTCAAGTTGCCTAACATCTGTCCATCAAGAATGTCGCAATCTTTGACTAATCTACTCATCAAGAATGATGCTTGTTTTTGACCCAAGTTTCCAGGATCAGAATCTGATCCTGGAACAGGTGGTCAAAAACAAGCATTTTACATGTGTTTTTCCAGTGTTTTTTGCTTGCAAGAGGCAAAATGTGGATCATGGGGGGGGTGACCATATATATATATATATATATATATATATATATATTATTATTATTATTATTATTATTATTATTATTATATTATTATTATTATTATTATTATTATTATTATTTATTATTATTATTATTATTATTATTATTATTATAAAAAAAAAAAAAAAAAAAAAAAAAAAAAAAAAAAAAAAGATGGCACCATGGGGTGAGAAAGGGATTCTAAAGGGTCATGGCCGTCCATCCTCTTGGCGCACTCGCGAGCGAGGCGCTGAGCGCGCACCCTCGGCCAGGCTCTCAGCTGGCGGCCGAAAGCCTCGAAGAGCAGGAGCTTGGGAATCGGAACCCCCCGGCCCCAAAGAAGAAACAATGCGGTGCTTTGTTTGTTGGGTTCCTTTGACAGCCGAGCTTTGTTTCTTTGGTTCCTTAAACCCCCCCTCCCCCCCAAAAAAAAAGAAGCTGTGCTTTGTTCGTTTGGTTCCTTTGACCTTGCCTTTAAAACGACCAAACGAGGCAGTACCAACTCAAAAGCTTCCCTTTACCAAAAAAACAACCCAAACAAGAAGGGTACCAACTCCAGAAGAGTTGACCCTGGCGCCGAAAGTTTTTTTGCTGAGAGTGAAGCTGTACGGAGCGCATAGAGCACCAGTCTGTCTAGATGGTACACGTCTAAGGCTGGGAACCGCCAAAGAATGGGGTGCTCAAAAATAGGAGTTCTCCAAAAACCGGAGTTCGCCAAGGAATCGTTAACAGGAGTTCTCCAAAACAAGACCTTGGGGGTTGCTCAAAAAGTGGGTTTTTGGATCTTGTCCGTTTCGGGCGGGACCGGGACACCAAACGAAAAACGCCCTATCTGGAAACGCAAAACCAGAAAATGTTCTGTTTTAACCGTAACCGTGTTTCTTTGTTTGTTGTACGTCCTTTGTGATGTCTGCCTTCATCTTTCTTTACGCGTGTTGTCTTTGTCTCTTGAGGTGTCCTTGTTTCTCTGTTTTGTTTTGTTTGGCTGATTGCTGATTCAGTCGGAGAGTCAGTTGTAGGATCGGGCCGACTCCGAAGCTGCGTGGCTTGGGAGCTCATTTTGCTGGGTGAACCAAATGGGGAATCAACTCATGCTACATGATGCTTCAATGGCGCAACAAACTTTGAGGTGCCAGAATCGCGCATGGCCGGTTCCAAGACTTCAGCACCAAAACGATCCAAAACGCATTGCCATTCAAAACACAAATGCAAACACACACAACACACAATACATATATATATATATGTATATAACACGCTCGTGCACATTGCCTCTTCTTTCCACCGGGTGTCCAATAAGCCTTGCTTTGTTCGTTCCTTACTTCCGAAATTTCACTCGGGGGAGTTGTTCGAATCTAGCTGTTTGCATCGCGCTTAATTCCATATCTGTACATACTTTATATGATAATTTATATGGGTTTGTCTTTTTTGAGGGTGCCGCCTTTTTTGATGGCTTTTAAAGGAACCCTCAAGGAACACCACCATTTTAATTATTTCTTGTTGAACCCGGCAGGCGTGCTACTCCAAACCCAACGTTGGCGCCAACTGTGGCTCCCAGCATTGCCCGCCACCATGTTCTGCACCTACTGCCTGCACGCGAGGCGCGGCCAGACTGGGCCCCCGACAATGAAGGCTAAGACGGTGGCTGTTTTTTGGGCTTGCTAGAGCGCTCCGACCGCGATGCTTGCTCAAGTGGCACAACAGACCATGTCAAGTGGCACCTTGCTATGCGCTGCGCTTTCAAGGTCGGCTGTGTGTCCTTCGCTGCCATCGGGAAACGCCGCCAACAAATCAGACCGCGATCCGAGAGGCGCAGCTGCCTTGCACAAATGACTCCCAACTATGTAATGGAACCTACGCAGGGTCATCAAACCCAAAAGGAAAGCTGCCATTTTAGAGGCAGACCCAAAAGGAACCACTTGGCATTGTAGAGTCCCCCACATTCTGACAAACCTCCAAATCTGCCCTTCAGATTCAAAATCAACGGCCGCCAAACGCAAGCCAGAAGTAAGGACCACACACGCAGGGCAAGGCAAGCCCGGACCGCTTGTGAGGTGGTGCCCAAATGAAAACGCGTCAGCAACTTATCTTTCTGTGAGCTTAAACTTAGGAGCCATTTCTGCCGTCAGCCCCTCCTCCAACACACACCCTAGGCCCCTGACATTCTCCGAATGGCAGAACTGCCACCAAATCCGTGCAGCAACCCATGTTTGCTGGTGGGGTACCACTTAGCAATTCCTCCCGGAGCATTCAAGCACCCCTTCTCGCGCAGAAACTTGACGTGGCCACATTCATCAAACACCACAGGCCACTCCCTGAGCGAAGTGGCACCAAAGAATTCTCGACTTTTACCTTTAAGATTATCTTCCCAAAAAAAAAAAACAAGTTGAATTCACTCACCCCCAAGAACACACCACTCAGAGCATTGGTTTCTGGATTAACAAAACAGAAAAACAAATGAGAAGATCGTTTTCTGGAAGGCGCTCCCTGCCTTTCAAGAGCCTTGCATCAAGCGATCAATGCAATTCCAAGTTGATAAGAATAATGATGATGATGATGATGATGATGATGATGATGATGATGATGATGATGATGATGATGAAAATAATGATGATGATGATGATGATGATGATGATGATGATGATGATGATGATGATGATGATGATGATGATGATGATGACAATAATAAGGATGAAAATAGTAATGATGAAAATAATAAATCAAACACGGAAAACACAAACATGTCTTGAGATGGAATTGTGGACCTACACACTCTGGCAACCAAAATTCAAAATCGGGGGCGAGAAAACGTTGGGGCTTCCGAACCGAACGTGTGTCTCACAGGGCCCAAGGTGAGTCTCCCTGTGTCCATTTCGACCCTTCAACTCCTCAGCTCCGCATGGCCCTGAAGTTCCTCGCAGGGAACTTGCAGACGACCATCCGATGGGTCCAAATCAAACCCCCAGGAATTGGACCGCAGGTTTTAGTCAACTTGTCCATTTACCAGGGTTCCATTTTGGGGTTACCCTATTTTTGACCCACACCCATCCAGCCCCCAAGAAGCGCTGATATATGGTGCCATCCTAACCTCCACTACCAAGAAGTGCCATCCCAAGAGCTGCCATGGCTTCAAGGGAACTTGCTTTGAGCCCTTGGAGCCGCCAGAGCCCACGTGGCTTCCAAACCGCGCCTCGATGACGTCGCCCACGCTGGCGCTCGATCCCTGGCTTGAGACGTTCGGGCAATTGAAAACGTGCCTGAAAGTGGCCGCACCCGCCATTGATGGATCGGGATGGTTGAGGAGAAGCCCGTTTCCCGGTTGACGGCTTCGGCTGAAAAGCAACACCTCTTAGAGACGAGAGAGAGAGAGGCCCCTTAACCGAAGGTGTGATGTGTGTTTGAGTGAGCTGTTGGAGGGCAGTTTGAGCCAACACTGGAAACATGGCCGAGGCATCTGCTCCCCTGAAGACGAGCCACCGGAGCCTATACTTTGCTCGCCTGCAGCACACCTCGTACCGCTCAAGAGTGCCGAACGCCCGCGTTGAAGTCCTGACGAGAGTCGCACCGGAAAGCGGACCTCTTCTGTCCAACCAAAGCGAGACCTGAAGTCGTTGAGGGAGGAGAACCGTTAGGGAAGACCAGGCGAGGCCAAAAGATCAGGTCGGGAGCCATTAATTCATGGCAAACGCCGCGCACGAATCCACTGCGCGGCTTGGCCACCATTTTCTCCCCTGAAACCGCTGCCGGAAACCGCGCGGAGACTCGGCGGCCGGTTCGCCCCCTTCCGAGGCTCGCGAACCTTTCGGGCGAAAGGGTTGGCTTATGGAACCGCAACCCGGGAGCCCTGAGGGCTGGGAGAGATGCCCCCGCCATTTTTCTCGCGCGCAGAGTGAAGCTTGTTGAGGTCGAAGCAGTCGAACCCTTGGGCGAGAAAAAGTAGCAGGGGCCTAATGGCATCAAGTCTTCTTGCATGATGCCAGTATCTGAACCCTCAAAGGACTATAAGGCTTTACTTGTCTGAATGATGAGAATGGGGCTGTCGCGGTGTTACCATGGAAGAATATTTGTATTTGTCTAGACCTCATGTGTCCAAACATGTCGCCTGCTGAATTCACCACGCCCCCCGAGGAAAAGCCTTTGCGTCAATCCCAACAAAAACAACAGTTGCCCCTTCCTCGACTTGGCTTTAGGATTTCTGGCTTGCCGGCCTTTTCGAACGCCAGTCCCAAGCCGCCTTTTTGAGGGTCCAGACGAGGCCTGGCGCAGGCAGGCGCGAAAAGGCCGAAGCCTTGGCCGCGTGCAAAGAGAGAAGAGGCCTCCTCGAGAAGAAGCCTCACTTCTTGTCTTGCTTCACCCGCTCGGCAATCACTCCGCCCTCCACCTGGCAACTGGGCTGGCCATTTTCGGATCCCCTTTTAGTGGGTTAAATACGGAAATCCAACCACTAAAAAGCTAACAAGCTGAGGGGATGGCTTTGAACCACCAAGGAAAGTTCCCGTTGGGAGCCCGTTGGGAGCCCGAAAGCCCATTGGGAGCCCGTTGGCCTTGGGCTTCTGCCCTGGTATCACAGAGCTGGGAACTACGCCACACTTGCAGATTCATCTGGAACCCAACAGGGATCCTTACATTATACACCTGAACATTGCCTTGTAAATGGTGGTTTCCCTTTATTTTGGTGGAAAAAGCCATGTTTCAATTGGGCAGAATGTGTCTTTTAAGGAACCCTGCCCAACAAAATGTTTCTTTGTTTCACTTTCTTTCTAAAAGCCACATTGTTGGCTCCATGTCAATCTGCGGGAGTGTAGTTCCTGCAACCTCAGGCGATTGTCAGAAAGAAAAGCAAAGAGACCAACAGCGTGTCTGCTGGCTTCCGCGCCAAAACAAAGCCGGGCGGAGCCTGGGATTCTTGGCCCACATCTGTACTGCACAAATGATAACCATACTATGACTGCTACGACTGCTACGACTGCTACGACTGCTACGACTGCTACGACTGCTACGACTGCTACGACTGCTACGACTGCTACGACTGCTACTACTACTACTACTACTACTACTACTACTACTACTACTACTACTACTACTACTACTACTACTACTACTACTACTACTACTACTACTAGTACTAGTACTAGTACTAATAATAATACTTCTTCTTCATACTTAGCCTACTTTGGCCTCCGTTGTCACTCTCCACCTCCTGGTGCGTTGATAAAGACTCTGTCGAACCGTGAGACATGTCCTTCCTCCAGCGCCTTAAGTCAAAATAATCAAAAAAATGGCTGGGCACCAACTTTAGGGGGCCCTTCTCCACAAAAGATCCGCTGGGCCTTCCAGATCTCGTTGCACACCTGGTTCACGAACTCGCTCGCGTGGGAGATCACCTCCGCTCGCGCTTCAAGCGCTTGCGCGCGAGCAAACGGACGGGAGGCCGTGGAGGGTGAAAGTGGCCGCCCCGCCCCCCCTTCCAAAAAGTGTCAAATACGACTGGAAAACGAAACTTCAAGAAACTTTGCCCATCCCCTTGCAAGGCGTCTTCAAATCGAGGTGGCTTCCTTTTGGTTTCCCTTCAAAACCACTCCTTTTGTCCAAAACCAAGTGAGTCATCATCAAATGGTGCCAAAATGGGACTGCCCCTTAGCCTTCACGTATGTTGGTTTGGAGTTGTGTTCCAGTCACCCAAAGAGAAACTATGAGAAGCCCCGGAAAACTGTTCCCCAAAAAGTACGAGATCCTCGCTAAAATGAGACACCCCCCCCCATCAAAATCAAGCACCGTTCCCGACTGAGGCTGAAAAACATGCAAAGTCATAGACTGATTCAGAGGCACCTACCAACATTTTTGGGGGGGCTCTCCAAAAACAACCACACACACACACACACACAACCCCCCCCATTTGAATCAGCCCCCCACCCCCCCCGTTTGAAGATCCGCTCCAGGCCAAGGCGCGATGATGCCCCCCTTGTACCGCGCGAGGCCCTGCACCAAAGCGTCCAACGTCTCCATGTCGATGTAGTTCGTGGGCTCGTCCAGCGCGATGATGTGGGGCTTCCTCGGTGTCGATCGATGGATTGGGCGCCCGTAGAAAGGGCAATCCATCGGGTGGCTCGTCCGTTTTTTGTTCAAATACATTTGGCGGCTCTTCCAATTGTTGTTTTTTTGAGAAAGCCCATGTTTTGTTGCTGCTTTAAAGCACAGTTAAAGGGACACCACCATTATTATTTTTTGGGGGGGGCTATGTTGAAACAACCCCAAATCAAGACCCAAGCCGCGAATCCAATCAAGTGGTCCAAGGGGCATTTGAAGGTTTCGCTTAAGTTGGCAAGTGAGTGAGAACCTATTTGTCTGTGTGTGTGTGTGTGTGCGGCTTCCCTTTGGTTTCCATTTAGACGAACCCAAGAAGGCTAACAGAAACAAAACAACACATATGTCACTACTCGCAAGTGCCACCCCCCCCCCCAGCCCCCCCAAAAAAAACTCGCAAGTGCCCCCCCTCCAAAAACAAAACAACTCCTCCTCCCCCGGTGCTTTTGAAATCTCCGAAGCGTCGTCCAGAAGGCGGCGCCCAGCGTGAGCTTGGACTTCTGCCCGGCCGAGAAGCCCCCGATTTCCCGGTGCAGAATCATGTCCTCGTCCAGGCCTCGGACGGGGTTCGGCTCAACGAGCCGAACGAGCCCAACGAGCCGGGCCGAAGGATTCCTTCGTCGGAGAGGCGCGGCGGCAAACAAAAGGTGCGCGAACCGGAGAAGAAGAAGAAAAAAAACGTCGTCCGAGGAAAGTGACGAGAAGGAAAGTCCCAATATGTCCTGAAAACATGGATTTGGGGGGGGGATATTCTGGAAGGGGCTCGCTGGTGAATGGTCATAGTGAAACTGCCCTTGCCAAAACGCGCGGGCGGGCTCCCTTGATTTCCCCGTACATCACCCCACGCAAAGGAAAGCCACCAAACAAAGTGGCAAATCAGAAGGTAACGATTGAAACCACCAAGAGGGGAAATATAGTCGCGTGGTTGCAGCGAGTCAACCACTAAACTGGCAGCCATAAGGACTCTTAGACATAAACCTATGAGTTGCTTTGAGAAACTCGACCCCCGGAAGATTGGAAATTGAAGCCCTCCTGAGACACGAATCAGCCAGTGTGGTCTGCACCCCCCTATGACTGCATTCTGGACTGATGCTTTGGGTAGCAAAAACCTGCAACGGGTTGCTGGAAATGGATGGATTCGACCGCAAGTAGGTCAAATGGTTGGTGCCCAAGATCGCTTGGCTTTTGGTACATCTACACCGTTGGGCACCAACTTCGTGTTTGGTGTTGGATTCCTTAGCATCCGGAAGGGGGTTCAATCAATTGGGGAAAGGGCTGTCAATGGGATTCCCCCCTCCAAATCTGGGGTGTCTGTTGGCACCCTTTTGGGGTCTTGAAAGAAGACGAAGGCGGGCGGTCATTTTGGTGAAAGTGGAGAATCCAAGGACACCTAGGGTTATGACCCTCACCACTTACTAAGTACCCTGCCCCCACTTCCCGAGCCCATCCCGCGAGCATGCGGAAGAAGCGGCCGAACTGCTCCTGGGCGCGACGCAAGCAGGGGTCCAAATTGGGGCACCAAAATCGTGGCTTTCCTTGTGGTCCTTGCTAAGCCAACCGGCAAGAGCGCCCTCAAAACACACGAACCCCACCTTTTGCACGGATTGGGGAGGTAGGAGAGGAGTTGTTGCAGTTGCGCACCATGCAACTCCTCGCCACTGGAATTGATTTCAGGACATATAAAATCCAAACTGCTACGAATAAATCAAATAGAAGTACAGCTACCAAAAGGAAACGCTTGCTTAGAGGCAAAAATAATGTGAGAACACACCCATTGGGTCGCTTAAAGGCGAGATGCCTGAGCCTCAGCTTCGTGGATGCACTGCATGTTGCAAAGAAACTGGTCGCAAACCGCCGCAAGTTCACCAGCATGCAAAAGGATTCACACAAGCCCTTTGCGATGGCGCGCAAAACACACACACACACACACACTAGTTTTCAGTCAAGTGTTTTTGCCTCTGGGCCGCGTCATTGGGACCACAGGCGCACGAGCCCTCAGACAAACAAGCTTTCAGCGCACCTCTCTGGGCAACAGGCACACGGCGGTTCTGGCCGGCCACCGGCTCCAGGCTCAACTGGGCTCAACTGGGCCGGCGAACTAGACGTTGGCCGGTACGGTTGGCCGGTTGAGCTCGTTGGCCCAGATGCAACCACCATCAACCCAGCTTCAAACTTCCCATTTGCTCAATGCCGCCTTTTGCTCAATGGCCACCCCATGGAACCGGAACCCAACCGGTTGGGCCGCCCTGTCTCGCCTCCTGGCTTCGAGGCTCCCAGGCTTTACGGGAGAAACAAGAGGACCACCGAGTCTGGATGTGGGTCCCTATCGAAATGGACCAAACAAATGAGGGGTTACCCCCCAAAAAGTGGTATCTAGGTGTTGACCCACACCCATCTGGCCGTGGGTCAAAATCCCGTACCCCGGAACATCCCAATCCCCACTAACATAGACCAAAATGGGTGGCGCACCTAAAACGGTTTTGACCCACGCCCATCTGACAACCATCTCGTTCTACGCCCCATACCGCTCTACGTCCCAGGCGCCAGGTGCTTCACGATCTCCTTCTGCGTCAGCGGTCGCGTGTCGATGCCCGCCGCTTGAGCAGCCACGCGCTCGTCGTAGGCCTACCAAAAAGGTTTCGGAGAAGAAAAAAAAAGCAGCAGTGGCAAAAAATCGGCTTGTGCCTATGGACTAGTGGACATTCTCTTGGCTGTCCGTTTTCTGATCCCCCTGCTAAAAGTTTCACTTGTGGTTTAAGTACCGAAAGCTAAGGAAACCGGATGGCTGGGAGCCACCAAGTTTTGACAACGAACCTCACCCCAATGGAACCCCAAGCTGCCATTTGCTTCTTCGGCTGGAAGAAATCTAAGAAAATAGGTCCAAGAGTGAAATCGATTTCAACTAAAAAACCAAGGGGAACAGAAACAAAACAAGAAACATCTCAGCAAATGGAAACCAACGAACCTCACCCCATGGGGGGAAAAACAAAACTTAAGCGGAAGCACCAAGGAACAAAAATACGCACCACGCCCCCCTCCGATGCCCCACCCCTCCCCTTTTTGTCTCTCCGCCTTGGCCAGGCCCACCACGTCCAGCTTCTTGAGCTTCGCCAGGTTCTCGAAGGTGTTCTGCTTGGGGTCGTCGCAGCCTCCGCATGGGCCCCGGGCTCCCCCAAAACCCGGCGCGCCGGAGCTCCGAGTTTCAGCGAAGTTCCATGTCCGTGGGACCCCCCGGCGGGAAGCCCCGAGTGGAACCCGCGGAACTTCGCCGTGGTTGAGATGGGCTCATTGGAACCCGATCTTAGCCCATGGACCTCCGAAAAACCAAACCGCCTCGCGTTTCGGGGCGGTGATTGGAAACCTCCAAATCCAGGCTTCGACGTCCCGTGCCCCGCGTCCTCCCATTGGAACCCTCGGAATTTTGCTATGCTCGCTGACGTTAAGTGGTCATCCATTCAAGTCAAAACCGCCTCACTCCTTGAGTCCTGGTCTCTCCGAATTTTGCCCCTTTCTTCGTATGTGGGTTTAAGCTTTCTTCGTATGTGGGTTTAAGTGGTCATCCATGTCTCGCTCATTTGCTCGTCCCAGGCAGCTGAACTTTGGCTAACCCTGACTCAGAAAATTTGCTGCCTGGGAAACCAAAAGCTTTGGAAACCCGGCAAACCGGTACATTCGCTGGAACCCGGTGGGTTGCGGAGGAGCTACTCGCCCAAACCACCCCGCCCACTTCGGGTCCCCCCGCCCGCACTCGGCACCCTGCCTTTCCACTGAACCTCGTAGAGCACTTCGTTGCCCCTCACCACACGGCTCTGGATGCTGCCCACCTTGGCAGGAGCCGTTTCTGCTTCACGTGAAAGGCATTGCATGAGTGTCCTTTTGGTAAAACAGATAGGGGGTTCCCTGATAAGGGAAACAGAAAAACCTGTCTAAACCGGTGGAACCCATCTTCTACCCAAACTCACCTTGAAAGGACACCTACGATCTGGAGTACACAGAAACTGAGATGCTCTGCTCTGTTTCATGGTTAGTTTACCCTAAGATACAGAATAAATATGAAGGAGACCACAGGCTGGATCTTGATAAAAAGAAGCCTCTCAAGATATATATATATATGCAACATTGATTCCCAATTCTGATTGAACAACATATGATATGGTCATACTAAAGGTTGTCAAGAGATCAGCGTTTGCCCCCTGTTCTCGATTTTCCTTCAAAGAAGACCAGGGTCTGGTTAAACCAGGGATGGGGGCTTGGTGTTCCTAAAGATGGCATGTCCAATGCATGGTATCATTATGAAAACATGTTCTACAGCTTGATTCGTTGTCCATTCTGTTCCACATTCTAAAGGCTGAGTCCTCAAACCATCGGGACACCCCTGGATTTGCTTCTCTAGGAGATTCCTTCGTTCTTTTCAGACACCTGCCGTTTCTTCTGGGGTTTGTGTTGTTCTAGAAATCAGGATCCATGAGAAGCATGGCGGTACCTAGGTCTCCTTTAAACACCACCCACCCGCAATGAACACATACAAATTGCCAAAAAGGTGATGTGTCATCTGGCCAAAAGGGACATAAAAAGACCACGCCAAGTGTGCGAATCTTGGGGAGTGTGCAAAACTAGGAGGCCCTTTGGATGGCCCTTAAAACCAACCCCAAGGAACCCGCCAACTTCTTGGCTGGAACTGCCCATGTGAAAAGAACGAGAAAATGTTTCTAGCTGGCGACGTGACTGCTGTCGTTCTCAAAGGTCATCCAGAAGCAGGTGCAGGAGAAACCCCTAAAACCAGCCAGGAGCCATCTGCGAATTGAGTTCATCATTTAAAAAATCCTAGGCCCCTTTCCCCTCCAAAGAAAACCCCAAAACCCTAAACCCTAAACCAAAAGCCGCGTCCGCAAAGAAAAACGCGCCTCGAAGCCGTACTTTCCGTACTTCCGCGCCAGCTCGTTCCGGCGCTTGGCCACCTCCTGGCTTCGACGCGAAACGGGGAGAAAAAAACACTCATTGTGGGTGATTCTTGAAATCGGGGACCAATGTTTGACTCAAAAAGTGAGGAAGAAGGAAACAAAAACATAGTTTGACCAACCTGGACTCTCAAACTTCCAACTTAAACATGGGTAGCCCCAAGCATATGGTGAGTGAAATCCCATTTGGAATTGGGGATTCTTGCTCAAAAAGTGGGGGAAAAATAAAACATAGTGTGGGTTATTTTCAAATTACATGAGGGCCACCCAAATTTGACCACCATGGGCCCCCCAAATTTGAGCAAGGGTAACTTTCCCATGAAATATCAAAATATGATTGGTGATTCGAAAAAATGGGGGTCATTTTTTCCAGGTAGGTGGTGTCTTTTTGGTTTCCCTTTAAAACCATCCAAAGAAAAGTCCCCTATTGTGAGAAACAAACAATCAAGCCAACAAAAACAAAAACAATAAGCAAGCAAGCAAGCACGCAGACAAACACACAGACAAACACGCAGACAGACAGACAGACAGACAGACAGACAGACAGACAGACAGACAGACAGACAGACAGACAGACAGACAGACAGACAGACAGACAGACAGACAGACAGACAGACAGACAGACAGACAGACAGACAGACAGACAGACAGACAGACAGACAGACAGACAGACAGACAGACAGACAGACAGACAGACAGACAGACAGACAGACAGACAGACAGACAGACAGACAGACAGACAGACAGACAGACAGACAGACAGACAGACAGACAGACAGACACAGACAGACAGACAGACAGACAGACAGACAGCAGACAGCCAGCCAGCCAGCCAGCCAGCCAGCCAGCCAGGCAGGCAGGCAGACAGACAGACAGACAGACAGACAGACAGACAGACAGACAGACAGACAGACTAACAAAAAAGCAAAAAGGCAAAAAAGCAAAAAGAAAAAAGAAAGAAAAGAAACAACAAGCAAGCAAGCAAGCAAGCAAGCAAGCAAGCAAGCAAGCAAGCAAGCAAGCAAGCAAGCAAGCAAGCAAGCAAGCAAGCAAGCAAGCAAGCAAGCAAGCAAGCAAGCAAGCAAGCAAGCAAGCAAGCAAGCAAGCAAGCAAGCAAGCAAGCAAGCAAGCAAGCAAGCAAGCAAGCAAGCAAGCAAGCAAGCAAGCAAGCAAGCAAGCAAGCAAGCAAGCAAGCATGCAAACGCACGCAGACAAAAAGACACAGACCAACAAACAAACAAACAAACAAACAAACAAACAAACGGTCCCCACAGGCTTGTCACCCTTCCCCCCAAGAAAAAAGACGTGAGACCGCGCTTGCTCGCGCCATCTCCTCGTTGGGAGGCTCCATGAGTCGCCTCTGGAGGGCCTGGCGGAGCCTAACTTCCTGTTGCACGGAATGAATGACCTTCAGAGCTGCCGGGTTTCCAAACGATTGAACCAGGTTTGGGGATTCCCGAATAAAGGTGTTTCATAGGCATATTGGATGGTTTTCCTATTGAATGACCTTCAAAGACTGGCTTTTGTAGACAGTGAATGAGAAACCACCCCTCAACCACCAAGCCACCGGGCTCCAAACCATCAATTCGAGGTCAGGGAATGACCTTCCGGGTGTTGGGCGAATGAACCGGGTTTGAAGAATTCCCGAAGAAAGGAAATCATAGGCATTGGATGGTGTTTCTTGGGGTCAGTCCATTTCTGATTCCCTGACAACCAGCAAGCAAATGACCCTCCTGTCTACATTGCCATGGAACCCGCAAAAGAGGGTCCCCTTCAAAGGTTCCAGAACCCCGATTCCATGTGAGTGGGCAGCATGGCAACAGAGATAAGTTAGTTACAACCCAGGGCCCTTGTAACATGCAAAAACCTGCGGTTTAACGGTTTGAATTTCCCTTTTCAAGGGGTTGGACCAGGTTCCAGCTGTTTAAACACAAACTAGCCAACCCTGGTTGGTTGGCCCAAAAACGTCCAAGTAGTCCCTCCATTGGCAAATTGACCCTGCCCAAACGTTTGGTTTACCGCTAAATGGTCTTCCCAAACAGTAGCTAGCTCTCCAACATCCCGTCGCTGAAACGTCTCTCAAAGGAAACTGAACCCTGGATTTCTTTTTGTGTGTGCCTGTGTTTGTTGAGAGAACAAAAATCCAAGCCACCATTTTTCGGATTTGGCTGTGGATCAAAACCACTGGTACCATTTTGGGGTAGGTGCACCGCCCATTCTAGTTTATTTTAGTGGGGATTGGGATGTTGACTGGGGGTACGGGGTTTTGACCCATGGCCATTTTTTGTGGTATGTCTTCTATTCTCTTAGGCGAACCCTGTGGGCCCTCCCATTCAAGATCTTGAAGGAAGCCTCGTCGTAGCCGTTCTGGTAGCGCCTCTGTATGTACACCTCACTTGAAGCACAAGGAAGACCGACCTTTTGGAACCACAACGCATGTACCAAAATCTCGAAAAGACAAAATATTCAAGACAAACACGAAGTATAATGTTGATACTTTGCTGAACAACGTTAAAATATGCTCCTTTCGAGTGAGAGGTTCGTAGGGAGTGCTGTTCATGAACTCCGCCAAGTGGAACATGTGCTGCTGGGCGATGTATGCCAGCCGCAGGTTCCGGTGTTTGTAGACCTGCCGCCGGTAGCCCCGTTTTTGGTGGTGAACATAAACCAAAAAGGAAACCACCCAGATTTGGGGCCAGCCACAATGGGCCAAATCCAGATAATTCCAAGCCACGAAAAGGGCATACAACGGAAAGATGAAAGCTGGGAATGTGATTCCGCGCTTCCGTGGGAAGCTGTCCGTGCCCTCTACCGGGGTCATTATTTTGACCGTTTCTGGGAGTTCTCAAAGTCAGAAACTGGGATGGTGTCCGTTTAACCTACCACGCAGAGAGCGACTTTGATAGTGGTGAAACGGGGCCAGCTCTATGGAAGCCAACTGAAAAATAGTGCATTTAGGCCTTTGAAAAACCATCTTCCAACGTAGATATATGGAAGTCCAGACGCGAGAAAAGAAACAAGAAGAAACAAAAAGTGACTTCGCAGGAAGCTACAGGGCTGATACCCCTGTGACAAGTCTGAAAGTGACAGTTCTCTACTTCAAAGGCTCACATAGCAACCCTGGTATCGTCCGTGGCAAACCAGCAAAGGAGCACAAAATAGGCATGGGTTCGTACACAGGTCCATATCCTTGGATAACTGGTCCTTTGGGTTTTGTATAACACCTAGGGATTATATGCGGGGAAGTGTCTCATTTTGTGCTAGTAATTCAAAATAATACTTGTCAGGTGTGTCCTTTGCCCAACGATCATGGAAGTGAACGAGTGGCCGTTTCAACAGGATGGCATTCTTTTACAACCCTCTGGTCCACTTCCGCGTTGGAATCCCAGCGTGTCACACAAACGCCCTCTGCAGGCCAAATTCAAGAGCAAGGCCAAACCCCAAGCGGGGAGTACATCGTCCTTACGTTTGCAGCCTGAGTCGGTCCAACACTCGTCAAACCCCCCTCAACAAAAATGCCTGTCGAAACTGATCCAAACCGGAGACCACCAACTCGGCGTAGCCTTTCCGAGTTTCGATTGTGGTGCTTGCTGTGAAGGAACCAGGAAATGTCCGCTTTTGTCACGCTTGCAAAAGTGCCAGCCAAAAATCAGTGTCCATATGAACGTAACTGTGAATACTAAATGAATAACAAAGGGGCGAGCACTAAAAAAGCACAATCCGAACAGAAAGGGAACAAGCTTTATGCAGCACAAAACCCAGCAACCTGACCCGAAGAGTAAACTTGCAACCTGCGAGCTTGCAACTGGTTTGCTTGGAGGTCATCAGCTTCCATCCAGTTGGCTTGGATTGGTGGCTCGGTTCAGGAGTGCCCCATTTACCCTTCACAAGAACCAGGGATTCAATTCCCCAATCCCAACCACCAAGTAAGGGTTGCCTCAGGTTCGGTGGTTTTGCCCCCCTTGCAACAAAAAGGTCTCAACCAAAACATGACTACAAAATCAAACCAAAACGGCAAACACGTTTGATGTTAATTGTTTATTTATCTATTTATATATTTATCTATTTATCAATTTGTCTATTTAAAAAAAAAAAAAAGCGGCCCAGCTCCACCGTGCTTCCAGCTTCCCGCCTCGCCGGTTTGGCCGTTGGGCCCGGGCACCGGCACCAACTCCCCGCAGAGCACGTTCAGCAGCGTACTCTTCCCTGCCGCTGGGGAGCTCAACGTCCCTAAAGGAATTTGAGAACGGAACGAGGCGTGGGTGAATTTGGCTTTTCTGACTGCTCAAATCTCCGTTCCTTTCTGCTCCCCTGCTAAAAGTTTTTAACTTTTCGTGGTTTAGTGGAAAACGCATTAGTTGGTAAAAAGTTGAAGTCCTAACATCCAAGCAAAATGCACCAAAGAAATGTGGGCAGTGTGAGGGGTACCCAAAGGAAAACTCCGGGCTTCCTTTGAATTCCCCTGGAAAAGGCAACCTTGGCTCCCTGCACTTCGACCTGCGGTGCTTTAAGAAAACTAGAAAGACCTATGGCAAACGCCCACCGTCCATCACCAGGGATGGCAAGGGCTGTGCGAGGGCTCCGAGAAGACGCTGTCAGGAGGGTATCTCCAAAACGGAAGGTTTCTACCGGACCTCAGCTGAGAAGCCAAAAGGATTCGCCCCAGGATCCCAGGACTGGCCAAGGAACGCTAGATGTTCCCTTGGCGACTCAGGATGCATATGGGTGTGCTTTTTTGAGGAATCGGACTCCCCAAAATGGTGGGCTGTCCTTTTGGTTCCCTTCAAAAACCACAAAGAACAGGCGCCCTCGCAAAGAGACACACCCATATCATCCTTTTGCATCGATCGCTTCCAACCGTGCCCGTCCGGAATTGAGTCTGCCTCAATCCTCTGCAAGTTTTGACGTGTGCAACACAACCCATATCTTCCCCACCCCACACCCCACTTGACGGAAACTTACTTGCAATTGGCAACCAAGCAGAAATAAGTCAAGCCACCAACATGCGCAAGCCTAAAAAGTTGTATGATCCCTTTAACACGTCATATGTGCCACCAATATTGGAAAACATGAGGAACCCATGGCAAATTCCTGTAATTCAGCAACCAGAAATAAGGAACCCCCCCCCCCTGTGTGAGCCTGACAAGCTCGTGTTTTACGCCAAAATGTGAGCCTGACAAGCTCGTGTTTTACGCCACAATCGGGGACTCTACTTCGAGCTGCGATGAGACGAAAAATCCTTGCTTCCCCCCAAGGTCCTGAAGGACCTTGAAAGTCCTCCCCCATCCCTTCCCCAAGGACCATAGAGCGCACCGCCATACTAAAACTATGGTTGGGTTCGTATAACCAACACTGTTTACCTGAGGATTGTCATTATCCACTTTGGGTCCTTTCTCTTAATGGGAATCGGCAAGGGACCCTAGAAAAACCATTTCGACCGAACCTCATAGGGCCTGCGCCGTTGGCACCAACCATGCCCACGCGGCTCGTGAGCGCGATCTTGCAGCTGATGTCTTTGAGGATCATCGGACCCTCGTCGTCGTAGGAGAAGAACACGTTCCTCGAGCCAAAACCATCAACATCCCATGGGTCAAAAAAAAGCCACCAGGATATGGACATGTCCAACCTCAAAAATTGGGTGGTCTCGTTTGGTTTGGAGGTGGTAAGCCCCATTTGCCCACAAGAACCAGGGCTTCGAATCCAAATCCAGAGCAAGCAAGCAAGCAAGAAAGAAAGAAGGAAAGAAAGCAAGAAAAAAGAAAGAAAGAAAAAAAGAAAGAAAGAAGAAAGAAAGAAAGAAAGAAAGAAAAAAGAAAGAAAGAAAGAAAGAAAGAAAGAAAGAGAGAAAGAAAGAAAGAAAGAAAGAAAGAAAGAAAGAAAGAAAGAAAGAAAGAAAGAAAGAAAGAAAGAAAGAAAGAAAGAAAGAAAGAAAGAAAGAAGGAAGGAAGGAAGGAAGGAAGGAAGGAAGGAAGAAAGAAGAGAAAGAAGAAAGAAGAAAGAAGAAAGAAGAAAGAAGAAAGAAGAAAGAAGAAAGAAGGAAGAAGAAAGAAGAAAGAAAGAAACAAAACGGAAGCCGTTGCAGGCGGCGTTTTTACACTTTCCCGGGCCGGGGCGCTTCAGCTCCATGACCGGCTTCGCCGTGGAGTGGCCCTTCAGGGATCCAGGGATGGGGAAGCCTCGCTCGATGCGGTGGAGCGACCGCGGAAGCGGAGGCCTGCTGCGGGCGTCTGTCTGAGTTGTTTTGCGGTGCTTCTTTTTCGGTCGGTTTCCCATAGTTAGAGCCAACCGAAAGGTGGGGTTCCACAACAATACCAGACACGGCCCTGCCATGTGTTATGATTGGAAGAAGACTTTCTAAGAGGCCCCACAGTGGCCTCTTAAGGCGAAAAGAACCTGACAACCAGCCCCAAACGACCGCAAAACGTTCCAGAGCGCATTAACCAGGAAGCAAGACGCTCTCCAGGCAGGAATTCAGGGGTCATCGGATTTCCCCAAATCAAAAGTTGAGCAATGCGCGGGTGGTGTCCATTGAAACGCTCGCCACGTTTTGTAGGTACTCCAAAAAAGCGAAATGGCTCGGAGACCCAGGATCGCAACTCTGCGTTGCAAATGTACCCAAGTGTGTTTGTCCCAAACGAGGTACCCACAAAACGGCCGGGTTGTCCTTCGTGCCCCCTTCAAAACCACCCGAATAAGGGTACCCTCTCAAAAACAGACGTAACAAATGAGTCAAACCCTTTGTTTAACCAAGCAAGACCCATCTAGCCCTGTCCCTCTGGCCTCTCAGGCGAGATCTTCTTTCTTGGGGACCTCCCAAGGCCCGCCCATTGGAGAAGTGTTATCCCAAGGCGAGAAATGGACCAGGAGGGTTTGCGCCAAGAGACCGAGATCTGAACCACCCAAGCCAACTCATGGGCTCGGCTTCGTTGAGTTGGCACCCTCTGAACGTTGAAAGAGACCAAAAATTGGTGGGAGGGTACCCCCATTTTTGGGAAACCAGAGGCAATTTTCCATTGGGGGGGGGGGGGGGTCTGGGCTAGCTTTGTCACAGCAGCTGATCTTGGAGGACTTGTCGAAGACCGCGGCCGTCACGCCGCCGCTCGCCTTGCCCGCGTCGTCTACCGCCTCCTCGCGACAAAAGCAGATGTAGGCGACCGTGGATCACTTGTGAGATATGGCTATGGGAAAAAAAAATGCGTACCCAAAATGAAACCCTGGTAAATGGAACCAAAGACTAAAACCTGCGGGCCCCTGGTGGCTGTATTTTGCCCGTACCCATATGGCGTTGTCGTTCCCCGCAAACCCTGCTGCTCTTGATCGCCCGTGTCTGATTGTGCGAGTGTTGATGGTTCTTGCTTCTTTGTGCACCGTTCCCCCAAACCAATAGCCAAATCAAACGAAGACAGAAACTAAACTTGGAGTACCCCCCCCTCCTCTTCCGCTCAAGGGGAGTACGCCAAAAAGTGGTCCAAGTTCGGGGCCCGACTCGAAAGGCGACACCCCTTCCTAGACGCCTTTAAAATTCAATAAACATGGAACCCTACCACAAAACGCCCGTTGTTTTCTTTTTGGAGCCCTTCAGTTCATCTTGGCTGCAGGGAGCATACCCCCAGAGGTCCCCGTTTTCCTAACCCCCTCCCCTCCCCCACAAGACTCGCAGAAGCCAGAGCAAACCGCCAAACAAAAACTCACCAAAACCGACGCCGACACCCAATCCCCGCCCTTCCCCCCAGCAAAGTCGACATCCTCGGGGTCCATGTCGTTGTCGAAGTTGTGCCGCCCCAGCAGGATTGCCTGCGCCAGGGTTGGGCTGTTCAAAGCAATGTAAAGGTCATATACTCTATATTCTCCCATGGATAGGCAACCCCATTACAAACGCCATACAGGACTACTGTGATCCATCTCATCTCAGAATGTTCCCGTGGTTCAATTCTATCAATGCAACATGATGATCAATTACACACACAGTCTTGCGGTTGGTACTTTGAAAGCCGCATTGTGGCGCGTTCGTAACGGAAGCGTGTGTGTGTGTGTGTGCTTACTATTTAATGCGGAGACTCGTTGAACGGGTTCTAATAAACGGGTTCCAGTTTACACCAAAGGACAAGCATGTGTTTTTGCCGCATCCGAAGGTTTCGCCATTTGCGAACAAACCCATGGGTCATCCAGAATTTCCGCCAAAAAAAAACTCTAGTTCCAAAAGCTGACTTTCAGGAATCCCCGAGGCAAAAAAACGGGCCTTTCTCGTAACTTTCGCTCATCGTGCCCTCCGCAATTCGGCGCGCGCGCCGTGAAAATCGGCAGATCCGCCTCCGCCTCCTCGTCCGAGCTGATCCGCCGAGCCTTGCGGAAGGCCTCGAGGCGGCCATCGAGGGTGGGTGACGATGGGCGCAACGGGGCTCGGGGGCGGATGGACGAAATCCTTCCGCACCACGAAATGAGGCCATGGTTGAAGCCATAACGTTAGCTGGTATTTAGAGGGGAATCGAACCATTCCAGGGGTTTCTTGGGTGCACAATGTCGTCCATCCACAGTAGGACCACCAAGGATGGGGACCCACATCTCAAAAACCGCCACAACTATGGACAGTGAAAATAGGAAGCACCAAAAGCGTGGGAAACCTATTGGTCTCTCTTCGAACAAGTAGGGAAATGTGTAGCCTGTGGCACGGTTCTGGGTTTCTAGAGAAGCTCATCCTCCTCCTCCTCCTCCTCCTCATCATCATCATCATCATCATAATCATCATCGTCATCATCGTCATCGTCATCGTCATCGTCATCGTCATCGTCATCGTCATCATCATCATCATCATCATCATCATCATCATCATCATCATCATCATCATCATCATCATCATCATCATCATCATCATCATCATCATCATCATCATCATCATCGTGTATAGTTTTCTATATATGTGTGTATACACACATACGTACAGTTCACCTTCATGGCGTGTATCAACAATCGTGATTCTAAACATGTGTATCAACAATCGTGATTCTAAACATGACCATGATGAACATTGTGTATGCATGTGTATACTCAATAAACATGTAACTACATGAAACATGCATGTGTATATATATACACACATTTTGCCATAAGTTTGGTGGGGAACACCCTTGCAAGAGATGCTCGGTGGACATGAATCCCCATGTAAATGATGTGCTTATCAAAGAGTTGCTCACATCGTCTGCACCTTCTAGTTACCAGGACCCCTAGCAAAAAAGCCCACAAATCGCCGTCATTCCAAAGGCCACGGAACAAAGCCTCCACTCTCTGGCGACTAGCAATTCTGGATGTTCAACCTGACTTCTCCATGATACTTAAAAGAAACAGTCGTGGGGAATCGAAGACAAAACATGGTCCCCTAGATGGGTATGGTGTTTTTGAGGGTACCCCTTGTTGGTCGGTTTTAAAGCAAGACCAGAAGGAAAACCACACTTGTGTGGGGGGGGGGGGGCAAAAAAAAGACCAGCCCAAAATTTGTCTTGGTGCGTCCCCCTTGGGGGCAAGGAGGAAACTCCAGGGGCGCGGTTTGTGGAGGACTCAGGTGACGGCAGGAACGTCAGGACTCTCCATCTCATCTCCCATTCTATTCACTCGCTTACATCTGAGTCAGGTGGGAGATATGGACATGAGATAAAAGATGGAATGCTGTCCCAAATAAATACTTGTAAAGGGACAGCATGGAGATGTGGAAGGGTTAGATGGAATGGCTTTCAGGAACTCTCTTAATCTCCATTCCATCCTACCTTCTTCCTCCCTATCTCCTTCCCGTTGACCCGGCTTTCGGAGTTCCTGTTCCACTTCCCTCCTCACCCGTCAACGAAAGGGAAGGAGGATATAGACGGGGAAGAGGCATGAGAGGGAAAAAGCAAGGCAAAGAATCTCCAAGATATGAATGCCTCTTCCTTACCCTTCCCATCCCTTCACTTCATCTGGATTTCCAAATCCCAAAATGAAGAGGGATGATAGGAAGGGAATGGGAAGTAGAGGAATAGAGAGATGGGACCTCCGGCATCTGTCCCTTTCACCTCGTCTTCTCTCGTCTCCCGGTCTTGACGTAAGGAATGGCCGGAGGAAGAGACAGTTAGGTGAGTGAGGTTTACGGAGTGAAGAGTGGATTGGGAACGAAGAGAACCATTCCATCCATCCTTATCTCCACTCCGTTACCTCTCCATGCCTTGTCTCCTCACTGTCGCCAACTATTTACATTGGAGAAGAGATATAGAGTGGGAATAATGGGAAGGTTATATGCTGGACCTCTTCAACCTTCCCTCCCACTCACCGCTCACTCCAGCCTTCGGGAGACACAGGAAGGAGAAGGCAAAGGAAGGAGTGAAAGGACTGACCCATCATCTCACCAATCCAAATAAATGATTGTAGGTGAGATGAATGAACGAGTGAATCCAGATGAGCGAGTGGGATGAATGACTGAGGAGACGAAGGAATGGGTGTGTGTGTGGGTCATTACATCTCTCTCTCTCTCTCTCCCACACACCTTCCCAGCCTCTTTGCCACCGGCTGGCCTGTCTATTCCTCACTCATCACTCTCTACCTCTGTCCGCGAGCGAAGTGAGAGAGACAGGAGATGGTAAGGAGTGGAAGTGAGGGATAAGGAAGAGATGGAAGGATGTGGAGAGGAGGAGGTGTCCAGAGTCTATTTCACCTCCCATATCTCTCTCCACACTGTTCCTTCCGTCACCTCCAATCACACTCTCTCATCCATTGACCCAACATCATTCCCTCCAACCAATTATCAGTCCAGGGTGAGGTATAGAGGGATAGATGAGTGGGTTTACAGTGAATAGTTGGTTTTCTTGGAAGTCTTCTCGCTGGACCCGATTTGCCCTCACCTCGAAGTTGCCCTCGAAGTAGTCCAGGGTCCGCTTGGCGCTGTACCTCGCGTGGGGTGCATGGGTGCAGCCATGGCATGGCCGATGCTTTTTGGTGGTCGAGAGCAGGCACCCTTAAGGATATGGGAACCACCCAAGACCCGACCTAGACCCGCAAAAATCGGAGCCACACCCAAAGAAAAAGGGCTCCAAATAACAGGTTCGAAGGGTGTCAATGAGATGCGTGTTCTTTTGAGGGCACCCCTACAGAAAAGCCAAAAGGAGACACCACGATTGGTTCCGGGTAGCCCTTTTTGGACCAAGGTGATCAACCCTGAGGTTGCAGGGGAAGTAAAAGCTTTACCACGAGAAATATATACATTCAGAAGCCTTCGCCACCTAAACGGATGATTTCGATGACCCCAAAAATCGTGGGCCATGCCCCATGCGGAACCTATTTTTTTGGCAGGCCAACTGGGGATCCATGCGCGTGGGTTCTTCAAGAGAAGACTTCCAAACTCTCAAATACCCTCCATTTGCTTAAGTCTTCTGGGAGAAACTGTCTAGTAGTGAAATCGATTCCCTTTCAAACCAACAAGGCGCAAAAATCGAACATCTTCATCTCATAAGACCAGCGAAAGGATAAGGTACCTTTTTCGCGGGGGTGAGCCATAGATCCTCCCTCATGGATGAGGTAGCTGGAATTACTCATCAATGCTGCTTGGAGCCTTGCATTTTTCTTCCGAGAATCACCTACGTACCGTGGCCCTTTGGGGGGGGTTGGGCGCTTCTCAAATGAGTGCCCCTTTTTTCTTGCCACCCCCCCCCCCCCCAAAATAATAATAATAATAATAATAATAATAAAAAGAAAAAAAACGAACCACATGGGTTTGCGTCTCTCTCTCTCAGAGTCTCTCTCTCTCTCTCCCTCTCTCTTTTCACCGGGCAAGCAAGCGGCTGGATGATATCCGTGCAGACCTTATTCAGGAAGTTGGGGTCGTGGGAGATGACCATCAAAGTCGTCTTCGGCATCGACCGCAAATACTCCGAGAGCCACTCCACTGACTGCTTGTCCTCTCAAGTCGCTTATGTGTGTTTGTGTGGCGCCTTCAAATCTCTTCGAAAGGTAGACCCCTTTGCTTGATACCACGTTCCCGTGTTTTTGGAGGGAAACATAAGAACCTGTTTTGGGTGGTTGGAGTTTGAAGGAAACACAAAAGGAAGCCAACCATTTGTTGGGGTCCCCCTATTTTGAGACGCGTCCATTTGTTTCCAGGAACACTGCTGAATGACAGTTGATACACCAAGTATGCCTGATGCTGGGAGGGCTGGCAGCAACCAAGCTATGTGGGTGTTCTCAAAAGTTGACACCAATTCCTCCAGGTGGAGAGTGTCCTGTTGGTTTCCCTTACAAACCATCCAAAAACAACATGGCCCCCTATGTTGAGACAAGCCCATACGATAATTCACAAATTGGACATGAGGGGCCCCGCCCCATGTGTAAGGGACCTTCATGGGTGAGCCCCGGGTGAGAAAAAGTAAACCACCGCAAGCCTACATCACATCCCACGTTTCCTGCTTTCCTTGCTTGTGCGATAGTCCCAGTTCAAAGGGCTCAAGAAAAAAGGCAAAGCTCAGGACAATCGCGTGACGATGTTAAGACGCCTCAATGCTCAAAATGTGTATATATATACATATATATATATATATGTCTATATATATATACATATGTGAATGCGAGTATGCTAATAAGTTGTAATATGTTAATACGTTACTATGTTAATATGTTAATATGTTTAATATGTTATTACATATGCCCCCCCACATCCGCCACAAAAATCAAAAAACGAAAAGATAGCGGTCAACTGCGAGCCCTCTTTTTGTGGGAATCCAGCAGATCCCCATCCTTGAAGTCACCGCAGTCCAACCAGCAGATGTGGACGAAACCCATTTCGCACCACGGACCAATGAAGCCTTATCAACGGGATAAACCACCTAATCAATCAACCCCAGTTTATTAATAGGGGGTGTCCCTGGCGAATCATCACTTTCAGAGAGGAACACCCCCATATTTTTAAAAACAGAGGTTGACCAATACCAACATTACCGTGCCTGTGGATTTTGTCCACCGGGGGGGGGGCGGTGGACACATGAGTTACCAACCCCGCAAGCCGAGTCGAGATCAACACATACAGGCATACATATAGATACCTATATACGTATATATACACTGCCAGGACAAAAGTTGCGCCTCTCAGGCCTTCTCAGAGAACACAACCCTTTCCCCCTAGAATCCTGCAAGCTGATGCTGGGTCACTTGTGGTCGAATTTTCACACTCCAAAACCTTTAAAGTATTTTAAATTTAAAGGAGGGTGATAATTGACCGTCCCACTCCTGCCACACAAAACCGAATCGAAAATTCGACCCGCAGGCGATCCATACGGCTTCGCAGAAACCAGCAAGAGGCATAAACTTTCGTCCTCCTGATGTCTGCAGCCACATGTTTGAAAGGAGCCGCGAGTGCCACTAAATTATCTTTACTGCCCTGCGTTACGGCAGGGGTGTTGCATTGAGGTCTAAGCTGACCTGCCTTTTGGCGCCGAGAGGCGTCGTACAGCACACAGCAGAGATTGAGAAAAATGCGAATCGCTCGTCTGCAACCTGTCACCCAACACCCCTCCCGTGACGCACTGCCAGGACAAAAGTTGCGCCTCTCAGGCCTAATTGACCGTCCCACTCCACACAAAACCGAATCGAAAATTCGACCCGCAGGCGATCCATACGGCTTCGCAGAAACCAGCAAGAGGCATAAACTTTCGTCCTCCTGATGTATATATATATATACATATATACATATATACATACATATATGTGTATATACATATACACAAAAAAGTATAATCGGACCCTTCTTCAACTTGACTCGCGTATTTTAGTGCCAAGCCCACAGTCCAGGTGGTTCGTGGGCTCATCCAGCAGCAGGATGTCGCAGTCCCGCATCATCGCCTCGGCTTCGGACTTCGGAGCGAGGAGTCCAAGTACCAAATAAAAGCTGCGGCTCAAAAATGGACCCCCCCCCCCCCCCCAGACCAGCCGGCAGCTGCCAGGACTTTGGAAGACCTGGTTTTCCATTTACGGAGGCCTCCTGGCGTCTGAGGGGCCCAAAATGGCACCCTGATAGATCGAAACACAGACTATGACCTGCGCAACCCCAGCGGTTTAAGTTTGAGCACCAAACATAGCGCCTAGAAAATGGAAATCAGGTCAGCGGAGGTCAAAAAGGCGCAAAATCGGGCTCCCATGTAGTTGGGGGTGGATGGGAACTCTCGCACTTTCCGTCACCGGCCTGGCATTTGCTTTTCTGGGGTTCTGCTCTGGCTGCCAGGTGTGCTCATCCGGGCTGACATGAGAGAAGACGTACGGGCTGATGACCAAATAGTTCACCCTAGTTTCAAGAAATACAGTGCGGTTAAAGTTCGGATTTGGGCTTAACTGCGGGGAACTCTCACCATGCACTTACATAACAAACTTCAAGACAATTCAGGCCGGCAATTGGGGGTGTCGCAATGTCATGCCGTACAATGTCAGGCCGTAAAACGTTTCTGGGCATGTCAGGGATCTTTATGTTTTCTCATTTGGTGGGCTCAAACATCACTCTCCAGACCAAGTTTAGGTGAGCTGTTCCTTTTGGAGGGGTGTTGTGTTTGGATTTTTTCAGATGACCTCGTGCAGTTTGCAGCGCTCGCCACATAGGCCCTACGAATGAATGGAAGGAACGCAAAGGGGTCCCGTGAGAAGTGTTTCGGCATGGGTACCCGCCCAAACTAACGTGCACATCCCTAAAACAACCCCAATGCCACCTCTAAAGTCGCACACCTTGACACGAGACCTGGCCTTCCGAGAGCCTGCCTCAAGCCCAGCCTAAACCAGTCCTCAGCAGGTGATGCTTGGAATGTTGCCAGCACCAACCAGCGCCAGTACAACAGAACTAGACCCAGTACAAGCAACAATACGTCTACCGTCTATTGCATGCCCATTGGGATCTTTTGTGTTTAAGCTTTAAGGACACTCGATATGGCCCACTGTTTAGGGGACCCGCTAAAATGGTGGTTTTCCTTTTGGTTTTCCTTTTGAAACCACAAAACCGGGACAGCCTCAAAAAAGACACCCCCCAGATACCGAAGTCTTGGAACTCTCCAAGGGGGGTTGAAGAAAGCAAGAGGAAACCACACCATTTGGAGGCGTTTCCGGGTGTCCTTCTTTTTTTTCCTTTAAATGCCAAAAAGGGAGTTCACCATTTTCAGAAACACCCGTACGTACAGTACTCATGGGGATGGGACCTGATTGGCAGAAGCTTTACTAAAACCCCATTTTAATGGGAGTATCACGCTTTCATTTTTTGTGTTGATAGCCTTTTTAAGGTTGTTTTACAGGGAAATCCAAGGGGCGACCACCATGCCATCTGAGCCCCCACCTGCCCCCTTCCCCCCCCCCCGTGCCATGGACACTTAGGGTCTATTTTGCCTTTTTGACCCCCCCCAAAAAAAATCAATACCCTAAAAGGAGAGCCCTAAGCGTCCATCATAGAATCGTATCCCTCCCTCCCCCGGCCCATTTGCGCATTCCGCCATATATTTCTCTCGCCAAAATGCTGAAGCCAGAAGCAGCTTCATGCGCCACCCACCAGAGAGCTCGTTCACCTAGGGTCAAACAAAAACCAACAGCCCCAAGCGTTTGCCGGTCTTTTGCTGGGGTCTGAAAGAAAGGCCGGGTTGTGTGTGTGTGTGTGTGCGTGTTGCGTTCTCACCTGAACAGGCAGGAAAAGCAAACCCCCAAGCTTTTGCCGGATTCATCGAACTGAGCTGCTAAAGTTTGGCGCTTTGCTTCCAAGCTCGGATGGAACCCAAAACCCAAACTGCTTGCTTGCACTACCATGGTCCCCGCAGTATAAACTTTGTCAACTGGATTCCGAGGTGAGAGAAACTCAGTGGCTTGCTGCGAGGTTCATGTTCCTAAAGCGACAAATAGGTGTGCGATCCAACAGCCAACCAGGAGGTACAACTAGCTCGCATCTGGGTGTCTTTTTTGAGGGCACCCCTTGTTGGGTGTGTTTAAAGGGAAACGAAAAGGAACACCCCTCATTTGGGGGTCCTGTATTCTAAGCCCATTTGAGTGTGCATGTGCGCCGCCAAATCGACCATAGACCGTTCGCGGGGCTCCAAGGAAGACTTGCAAGGCTTCCAGCCCCACAAGAGCCAGAGCAAGTAAAGGGCTCGCAAAATGTTAGGCCCAATTTTGGCATGGTGTTAACACCCAAATTTTAGGGAACCCGCGATTTGGGAACACCAAATATCTTCTTCCCGCAATGGGCCCTGATGTTTAACCACTGAGTACTTGGGCTCTGAATCGTAGAACCTGGTTCAAAAAAACGAATCTGCGGGCCATGGTCTGTCTCCTTCACTCCTCCCATTGGCCTTTATGACACCTGAAGAGTTGATAACCGTGCCTAGTCAAGTGAAAGGGTGTTTTGACACAGATAACCAATGACCCTACGACACTTGACGGCACATTTTCGCCAAACCTAAAATGGTGTCCCAGAAAAGCAGGAACCCCCAAAGGTGGGGTTCCTAACAACATGCTCCAACAACAGAAGTATCGCCGACACACCCAACTGGCCCGGGGCGTCTCGCCCATAGGGCGAGACGCGGACTTGTGCTGCATGGCTTCGGGGAAGCCCACCTTCGTCAGCGCGTCCTGCGAGGCGGGCTAACCTGTTCACCAATTGTCTGAGAAACAAGCGCAGTGGCTCGGGCTCATGCGGCAATCATATGCCTGACACAGGGTTCATGTGTTGGTAATGACTTCAGCACATTACAAGTGGTGGTTTCAAGAGCTCGGAATGCAGGATCCAGCAGGATGGTTCATTTAGCATTCGTGGGGCAAGTTTGGCAGACCTCCAAGACGACTTCTTCCGGTGTGGGGGGGGGGGGCAGGCATTTGTTCAACAAGGTATAGTCTGAGAAGGACAACAACCAACCGAAAAGGGCCACCGTGGTTGACCTCCGGGGAAAAAGCTCAACTTGGCAGGCCCGCCTTCACTACAATTATGAAAAAGCCAGCAAACGTGCAAAGGTTTACAAAAACTCGCCAACTCGGGCAAGACAAAAGTCCTTAAGAAACCCAAAAAGGAAAAGATGTTGACTGTAGAAAGCTTGGCAGAGGTATCATAGGCGTTGCTGAAAGAGGTCCCCGCAAGCGCCAACAAATCACCCTTTCGGGCACCCCCTGAAAACCACCTCAAAAGGGTTTACCATCGCTTCCTGATTCCAAGTGGTCTCCACTACCCCCTATCCACTACCATGGAGCCATGGGGGAGATTGCATATAGTGGCAATCTAGCTGTTGTACATATATATATATATATATGTATATATATATATATATATATATGTATGTGTATATATATATATATGTATAATGGTCTTCCTGTTGAAAATTCTCAATACCCTCGACGGATCGATCCGTCCTCCATGGCCTCATCGTCCACCGTCTGGTTCTTCAGCTCCTTCCTACAGAACTGGATGGCGTTCAAATCGCTCGCCTCCACCAGCACCTTGCCAGGGAACCATATCCCATGCGTAGCCCCAGCTTAAGTTTGTGCTTCACACAAGGCGTCACATCCAATTCATTGGAAACCGCCAAAACTAGTCGTCCAGTGATAGATCCCCCTAAGCCAACTCTCAGCTTCCCTCCAAGTGGTTTGGGGCCCACCGGTTTGCAGTGGCTTCGGAGAAAGGAAATCCCAGCCCTCTACAAGAACCAGGGATTAAAACCCCCAAACCAAACCAGCAACCTGACGGGTGACCGCAGCTGGACTCTGTTCCATGGTTGCTTGGTGAAAACTTCCGATGCGGATTGGACCAAAAAAGGCAACCAATCGGTTTGCTTCACCACATTGGTCCAAACCAAAAAAGCATGAAGTCCAAGGACTCATCTCAATGAACCAGAAAGAAGGCAATGGAGCGATCCCTGGAAAAGAAACCTGTGCTCCCTTGCGCACGCGCTCACCCCATGCAAGAAGAGGGTGTTTTTGCTGGTTGAACGGAATATGCTGGGAAGCCCAACAAAAACAAAACGAACAGCTAAAAGGTCAGCTACGTCTGGCTTCTTCAAGAGGGAACTGTCCATTCCCTCCAGTCTGAATTCTCTATCTCCATGAGGCCGCCTCCGGCTTCACGTGCAGGGTCTTCACATCCGAGCTCATGCCGGACACCCCCCCAGCCGCAATGGTGCTCATGAGGGTGGTCTTGCCTGCGCCGTTGCGACCCACCTTGGCGCCGACGCACCGAGACGGGCCACATCTGGGCATCCGCATAGCTGCTTGGTTGAACATGCAAAACAAACCTTGAGCAACTGGGGATGGATAAACGACATCCTGCGTTTTTGTTTGGTGCATGGGGCACGCAGCAAATACAACTTTCAGATTCTGCCAACCTGTTTTAGTCTGTCCAATTCCAAAATGGCTCAAGTGTTGCCACGCCTTCCAGGGGTTGACATCCCGGAACCCTCCTCAGAACCGCCCCATGCATGCCCGACCCATCTCCACCGAACAGGCTCAACAAGGTAGGAAGTCGACCGAGTCAGCATCATCATGCTCATCATCATGTTCATAATCATCTTCATCATCATGGTCATCATCATTCTCATCATCATCATCATGTTCATCATCATGCTCATCATTCTCATCTCCATTCTCATCATCATTCTCATCATTGCTATCTGGGCAAAGACCCCATAGCTGAAAGCTGTTGAAAAACACCACGCACAATGATTGTTCCTTTTGGTTTGCCTGCAACACCAACCAAAACAAGAGTGGTCCTCAAAATCAGCCACACACGCACAAACACAAACCCATCCTCCCCTTTGGCTTTTGGTTTCGCATGACATGTTGCAAGGTTTGACTGGCAAACCCCACCAAGGCACAACTCCATACCTGCGCCCTCTGCGCAGGTCCAAGATGGCATCCTTCAAGAGCATATGCCCGCCTCAGGGCCCCGCTTGGGTTGGTTTTGCAAACGGGTGCCCTCTGCAAGTACCGCTTTCTGCTTTTTTTGGTTTCGAAGGAAAAACAAAACGAACACCCATCCGTTATATTTTATGTTTAGTTTATGTCATGTTGTTCTATTATTATGTTTTTGTTGTTGGGGGGGGCTGGGGCGAAGGGTCCCTAAAATGTCCTAAAGAAGCCGAGCTGCCCAGAAGAATAGAACAACCACAAAGCCCCCCCTGACCCTGAGACGACCTTCAAACATATCGGGGTTGATCAAAACTCCTTTACATGGGATGACCGCTGGGGAAGCCCGTCCACCCCCCCTTGACCTGCACCTCTAGTGCCCATAGAAACCAAGGGCAGCCCTCAAGAGATGCAACTCCTGTAGCTCGCCAGGGTCAAAACGCTAGTTGTGTGAGCCGAGTCGACGTGATTCGCCACACAAATCCGGAGGCTACACCCCCCTCCTGCTCTTTCCACAAAAAAAAAACACGTTTTATTTGGATCTCACTAGAACCTTCCTTGGAGGAAACCAGCCCACCCCCCACCCCAGCCCACCCCACCCCAGCCCACCCACCCCACCCCAGCCCAGCCCACCCCACCCCACCCCCCTTTCCCCAGTCGCACCTCCGTACATCATCCGCAGCCCGTCCAGGAAGATCAGCGAGTCGCTGGACCGCTGGTTCTGCTGCACCTCCTCCGCCACCTGGTCCTCCACTCCCTCCTCGGGCGGTTCCGCGGTTTTCCGCCCGGAAGGGCCGGGGGGGGGGGGCCAAAGCCTCACCGGTCATAGATGTCTTGTGCTCACGAAAATAGACGGATCTCCCTGGGAGATGATTGAACCACGAGGTCAACCAGGGCCCTCTATTGTTCAACCAAACCGAAAAGGACACCTGTGCTCACAGGGTACATATTCGGTGTGTATCCCAGATATCCATATCCCAGATACCTCGCCCATGACTTCAAAGTGAAACCCAGACGTGTAATGTTGACCCCATATTCATCAACCCCACTTTATTCATAGGGGCGTGGGAAAGATCACACCAATACCCGGGGGATTGGGAGGATCTCAATCCTTGTAAAGCAAACTTTGTTTGGATGTATCTTCGAACCGGAACCCCAGGCAAAGGACACCAAAAGATGACACATGTCCACCTCAGGCTCTGTCGAAAAAAGAACCAAGAAACGACCATATGCGAGATGCGCAAGGGTCCCCATATCCGCTGGCTGGAACCACCCCTCAAGCACTTGCCGGGTAGCAGTTGCTTGAGAATACCCAACCAATAGAATCAAATTGTTGAGGTGTTCAAGGAGGCGACCCAAAACCAATGGCAAAGAACCCAAGGGCGGTGCTATCTTTACTTTGTTTGAGTGGTGGATGTCTTGTGCTTTGACATGGGAAAGTTAGCTGCTCATTCCAGAAGATTCAGCAAGTCCATGGCCCATCCCAAGTACTGACTGCTTATCAGCCTGGCGGAATACCTGGGGAGGGGTCTGGTGTCTCCCCTCAAAACGATGTCCGCCAAAAAGAGACAACCCCCATGAACCGAGCGTGGGTTTATTCATCCTGGGGTTCCATTGACACCCTCACAATTGCCCTCTCTAACTGACGGCCCTCAAAATGGCTGTGGTTGTCAAAACCGTTTTGGGATCCCATTTTGGTTGGTAGGTGCACCACCCATTTTAGAACCTACTTTAGTGGTTGGATTGGGATGTTCACTGGGGGCTAACCGGGAGTTTGACCCTGTACCCCTGGTGAACATCAAAATAGGTGGCAAATGGATGTTCATCCACCCCAAAATGGCTCGCCATAGGTTATGCAACCCATGGCCATTTGAGGCTTGATATATAAACCCACGGATAACCTCGCCATGGATCGAAGACCTTGTCCAAGAAGGCCTGAAGCTGGAAGGCGGCGATCGCCGTGCCTCAGTTCCAGCGGCTCCATCCCGCTGGACGGGGGCCCGTCCAGGGCACCCAAAAACAATGAAACCCGGTCTCAGTTTGGCAAGTTGGGTTCACCCTGAGACGCCCATGTTAGCAGGTCCGCCGTTTTAGGAATTCTGTGTTTTCCCTAACTGGGGTCAATTTGCCAATCCTGGCTCAGGCTGTTGAGGGGGACAGGTTCCGAGAGTGCTAAGTTGGCAGGGTCATTCGGGTACTCCTTAAAACGCACCCTTTTTCGGGGTGACTCCATCCCCCCCCCTGTTTTTGGGCTCCAAGTGAAAAACTCAGATGCCCAGTGGCCATGAGGAAAAAAGGGCATCCGTTTTTGGTTGGTTGAGTTTAAAGAGGAACCCTTCCCCAGGAAAAAAAAGAAAAGAAAAAGAAAATTAGGGCGCCACTGGGCAAGTGGGCAACTTTGGGGGTGCTTTTGGACTTAGGGTTTTAGCCCCCCCAAAGATAACTGTATAAACCCCTCGGAATTCGCTACCAAAAACGACCCGCCAAAGACGACCCGCCGATCGCCCCGCGCCTCCCGCCGCTTCGAGCGCCGCCTTGTCGGCCACCGGCCGCAACTCCTCCTCGATGGCGTCCTCCGCGCTTTGCCGCGTCCGCGACTCCTCGGGGAAGGTCCAAAAGCCGGGCGCTCCTTTGAACCGCTGGACTTAAACAAAACAAAATGTGTTGAAAGCACATGTTTTTGTTGGGAACCCTGGTTTTCGGAAACCCTTGGCGATTGAAGCCGCTGATGCGTTTGACAACGCCTGGTTTTGCTGAACACTTGAAGCCCTGGTTTTGAATTCGTGGGATCTTGTTTAGCTTATTGCACCTGGGTGAAAGTAGATGCCACGATTCCCTTCTGCCTAAGGGGGATGATGAAACCTAAATGGGGGGACTGCCATCTTTCACCAACTTCATTCCGGAATTGAACCCTCGGGTTTTTGCGTTGTTTTTGTTTGTTTTTTCTTTAATAGCTCCCCTCTACTTGCCAGCTTGCAGCTCTGCTTTGGAGGGTTTCCGGGGCTGGCTTCCCATTGACCCTCTACGAGAGCAAAGGGTTTGGATCCCCAGTCCCCGGCAGTCCAAATCACCAGTTCAGGGTTACCTGAAGTTACAAGGGCCAAAAAACACAGAATGGGGGGGGGGGGGGGCGCTTTACAACTACTTTCAGTAGTGACTATATGGTTCGGACAGTGAGTCAACTTGTCTAAACATGAACGCGTTGACCCCTGTGATGAAACAACCTCCTGTTTGAAGGGAACCGGCCCGGCCGGCCACTTGAAGCCAAGGTGCCATGCAGCAGGAGACCAGCACGGCGCTGATGTACTTCCCTCGGATGTGGCTTCGGTTGGGGAATAAAAAAGGCCGTAAACCAAGTAAATACCCTCCAGTCCAGGGAAAAAAGGCCGACCAAGTAAATACCGACTCCAGTCCAATAACATGGAATCCACCACAAGGTCCATGGAGAAATCCAGGACACCGGGTTTCAAGGCTCCATGTGGATGGGAAGGGTAGTGCTTTCCTGCGCGGCTTTTGTCGATGGTTGAATGGCGCTTTTCGGTTCCAATCATTTAAGGTTCATTCAATCGAAAGGGTGTCAGATTGAGATCTCAACACCTTTCTGGCAAAGGGGTTTCGGAGTAAATCGAAGAACGAACCAAAAAAAAAGGCGCCGCGCCACCAACCAGACCAAACCCAAGGCGCGCAGGGGCTCCGGGAAGGTGAGCACCTGCAGCTGCTCTTGGGCCCTCTTCCGCAGCAGCTGAGGCCGCTGGCGGCCCTGCAGCGGCTGCTCCACCGCCTCTCAAGGCTCAAGAAACATGTTTAAACAAAAAGCGTCGCGTGGACGGGAAGCTATCAATTCCCTTGGAAACGCGAGGAGGGGCTAAAATGGTATCTAAATGTGTAAAAACTAAAATGGGGGTGAGGAGTACTTTGAAACCAAATCGAGTCGTGCATCCGGCAGAAAATCGGGAGACGCTTGCCGTCTTGCTCAAAATTGTCAAAATTCCTCTCGCCTTCACCTCCTCGTCTGCGGTCTCCACGTCTGCAGCCTCCTATCACACCGAATCCCGTCGTCGACGTAGCCGGTTCTGACCCAACAGGTCCGACCCAAACCCAACGCCTCCCTTTGGCTTCCCTCCGCCTTTTTGGGTGGAGCCGCATCGGTTTTGTTTTGGCGTTCCGGGAGCAGTGGCCCAAGTTTAGCCACAAGAGCCAGGGGGGGTAATTCCCCAGTTCCCCAAGTCTGGTCTCAGTTTGGCCTTCATTTCTTGGCTTCGCTGTTTTATCAAGCCCCAAGCTTCTGCCTCCTCCGGAGTTCTTTCGGCCTGTTCACACGCTTGTTTCCCACAACGCCACTTTTTACACCCCGAAAAGGCTCACCCACAAAAGGCTCGCCCACTGTGAAACGACCAAACGAACACCCGCCCCACCCGCCCCACCCGCCCCACCCGCCCCACCCCCCCACCCTCCTGCGCAAAGAGCACGCCGCAGGCGCCCACCTGCACCTCTGCCGCCGCCAGGAACTCCTTCTCCCCCGCCTGGCCGTATGTTGCAGACGCTACGGATCCCCTCCTGGGAGGTGAGGGGTTGCTTATGGCTTATGGAAAGTGGGGGGTTTCTTTGTGGGTGTCAGAAATAAGTATCCTCCGGTTTTTTGTTTGAAACCAACTACCAAGACCTGCTGTCCCAGGTCCTCTTGGTTTAATTTTGACTGCCCAAATGAGCAGCTAAGGGGCCAACAAACCCAATCGCCTCCTGACTAGTAGGTGAGTCATCATCAAGACCATTCGGTACCTTAAAATGGTGAACCCAAAATCACGTAAAGAGGCGGCGAAGGCACCCATTTCTGGTTGGGGCTGTCCTTTGCTGACCGGTTTCTTGTTGTGGCTCCAATCCAAAAATGGGGGTACCCAACAAACAAGCTCCCCTGGTTTCCCGTTTAAAGCACCAACCCCACAAAGGGCACCGAGCCTCCGAACGATCCGACTTGACCTCCGACCCGACACACCGGGCGCATCGCTCGACTCCACTCCGCGCCTCCATCTCCTTGAGGCAGTTCGCGGCCGCGGACTTCTGGGCGGCGCTGCCCTGTTGTAGCGCCTTCAGCACCGACAGCAGCAGACCCAAAATCTCCGCCTCGCCAGGCGACGAGAGGAGGGCAAACGAGGCGACGAGGGCCAGGAGGGCCGGGGGTGCGACGGAGGGTTCGGGGATGGACACTAAGCGTGTATGTTTGCAGCCGAGAACGAGAGGTGGTTGCCAAAGAGACGTGATCGCAACATGGTCGCTAGCCCCAGTTTAGGATTTGCAGGGCATGTCAAGAACTACCCTTCCTGCCGCAAACATAGCATTTTTGAAAGCATACCTGGCATGGCAACGTGCGAGGACAAATACGGGTTTATTGCGCGGGTTGCATCCTATAGAAAGCAAGACTCGAGTAGCATACCAAACCAATAGGTACACGGTTAGCACCTTCTCTACATATGAGTTTTCTCAAAATGGTGGACCCTTTTGGTTGGCAGTTGAAGGGAAACAAACCAAAAGGAAACCAAATCTCTTTTTGGGGGTTCCCCTATGAAAAACCCCCAAATGGGTGCGCCACGTAGTTGGGTTCCATGTGCTAAGACCCCCCTCCCGGGTTGTGCCTTGGCTTTGGGCCCACTCTGGAGCTTCTCCTTCCAAAGCAGAGTGGCCACCCGCCGCACGTCCTCACATCGCGCAATCAATGGTCCTTCGGATGCAACGCACAATCAATGGTCTTCGTTCAAAATATTTTCGGAAGCGAAAAACAAAAGAAAAAGAACGGGCGCCCCTTCATGTTGTTTCTTCTTGTGTTCTTTTTTCCTGATGTTTGGGAGGGTGGAAGGCGCAAGTGTTCTTGCACCGCCTCCAAAACCAAAAAACAACAAAAAACAAAAAACGCCGACTCGTGCGCATCGACTCGCGACTCGCGCTACTCGATTCGCGAAGCGGGCGTCCATATGGGAGTCCGTGCGGGCGATAAAGATGGAGACCAGCAAGCTGTGCCGGTGAAAGGCCGAGAGGCAGTCCATGCTCAGGAAGTCCTCCCATCGCTCGGTTCCTTTTTACACCGGGGGAGTTGGACCACGAAAAAAGCGAAGGGTCCGTGGTCCGCCAAAAAAGGGGGCTAAACAAATGGAACACGAGAACGGATTTTGACTGGGACCCACAAAAGAGCTGAGGTGTCCTTTTGGTGTTCCTAAAGGGTCCTCTCAGTAAACACGCACTTTTGTTCCAACGAGCGCGGCGTTGCTTGGCGTTGCCGTCGCCCTTTTCCCCCTTTTAGTTCTTTAGGCTCCCATAGGACTCTCAACCCCGGCTACCCCAACACCCACGGCCTTGGACTACGGCTGTACAATGGCCCGGCTCAGCCCGCACCCCGAAAAGGAATGAACGGGGCCTGAAGGAAGCCGGACGAAGGGAAGCCCGGGTGACAAAGCCGGACTCCGAAAAGGCCGAAGCAAGAGAAACGTGTTGTCACTGATGCAGATCCCTCCATGTTCAAGCGAAGGAAGAGTAAAGAAGCCAGCGCATGTTTTTCACATCTTGCTTTGGGGGGGTAGGATGAGCTCCATGATGAAGGCCCCTCACTTCAGGTTCTATCCTTTTCCGCTTCCAAGCTTGAAACTGTTCGTTGCCAGGTATCTTTTGCCTAGCGCGAAAAAGGGTGCAGCCTTTCGAGGAGATCAAGGTCGCTGCTGAGCGCTGCCAGCGTGGCTTTCTAAGCCACTCTCCACCATGCGTTGAACGCCAGGCTGGCGATTCTTCGACTTTTGCCCAAGGTTTTGAGATGCCCGAACGCACCAATGAGAGCAAATGGAAGAATTGGTAGGGGGGTGTTCTTGTATTTTGGGCATCTCACAATAGGATGGGGAACTCCCTCCCAATGGTTGATTTCTTCTTGGTTATCCTTCTTCACCGGAAAGGAGTTGCGCATTCTAATCGGAATGTGAAGAGCACCCACCGAAAGCACTTCTTTGAATTGGTAGCAAACACTCGCAAAACTAACGGAAACCGGAAACAATTAAATTGGATAAACATATTCCTGTTGGTCCCCTTTTGGTGCCCTTTTGGTTCTGCCTGATTTCCTAGTCCTTCTTCAAACGGAGCGTCATGCCTTTGTGTTGGTATCCCTTTCAATGTTGGAATTCCTTTGCAACAAAGTAGTCCATTTGCCAAAGTCCCCTAGAAAAACAAGAGAAGCATATGTGTGATAGTTCCCTTAAAACCAAAGGAAAGCATACCCTTTCTCTGACTGCTTCAATTTGATGGGAGACTTCCCCACCCACCCAAAGAGGGTTTCCCACAGGACAAAAAGCAAATTCTAAAGAACCACAGGTCTGGACGTCGGTCGGATCTTCTCAAGAGGAAAGGAAGCCCTTTCCTGGGACGGGGTTGATTGATTTTCATGGGAAACACCACACAAAAAAAAGCAGACCCCTGGACGTCGACAACGTCCTTTTGGGGGGAGTTAATTGATCTTCACCTCCAAAGAAAACCGAGAAACAAATGCAAAAAAAATGCAAAAAAAATGAAAAAAATGCGTTTTGTGACCCTCCGAACGTCCTGGCCGAACTTCATCCCCTCGCTGATCTTCTCGCACAAGGCGAAGAAGAGGTCCATGGCGCGGGTCCGCGCCTCTTCTTCTTGGAAGAAGAGGGCCTCGCGGAGGTTTCTTTGTTGTCAGGGCTGTGGGGAATGACCACTTCTGTGATACAACAGAAAGGCCTTCCCAAAGACTATGTTCTTCATATAAAGGGGGATTCCCTTGCATCACAGAAGTGGGGAGAAACCCCTTGATCCCACAACCCTGGTTTTTGCTTTTTCACACCAATCCAATGGCTCCGACGTCTCGGACGTCGTCGAGCTCGGAGATCGAAGCGTTTCAACAATGTCTGAGTCGTCGGACTCGCCCAGTCTAAGAGTTTAGGGCCGAAACGGGAGGTTTCGACTGCGAGGTGGCTGGAACCGGTTGGAGGTAGGTTGAAACACAGGGGGGATTCGTTTGATCACTGCAACAATACCCATCACTAAAACTAGAACCCTCAAAATGGTGTTCCTTCTGGCTTCCTTTCAAACCAACCACAACAACTTGGCCTTAAGCCAAAAGTCCATGGGTTTGTTCCGAGTTTTGGGGCTGGCCTGGGTCCCTCCAGACCAGGAGCTGTGGTGGTTTTGAGGCTGCCACGTGCAAGGCTGGTCGGGCCCGTTTCTTTGACACACACCCAGAAGGGTTTATCTTCTTTAGGAATCGGACCCCCCAACAAACAGTGTGGAAAATTGAATGCACCTGAAAATGATCAGGGATCCACTTCTGTTGGAGAACCAATCTCAAAAAAATCAACCCCCACCAAACTTATTGTGTGTGGCTTAAAATAAAAGCAATATGGATCATGTTTCTCTGTTCTTAACGAAAACAATTCTTGTCAACACCCAACAACCAAACCATTCCACACACACAGGCCAAAAAAAACAAAGAACTACCCACCACCCCCTTCGCTGCCGCGTCTGCGCTTCCCCCGGCTTTCATTTTTTCCGCTTGCGCCTCCTGCATGCGGGGCAGCAGCAGATGCGGCGCCGTGGCCCCGTACTCGTCGATCAGGGTCCGCACCGCGGCAATGGCCTCGCGACGAAGGGCGCGAGGCGCGACGAACGGGCGCGGGCGCTAGGGGTGAGGCCGGGCAACCTAGGACAGGTCAAAGCAAAGGCAGGAGTTCTATATGTGAAACACGCCACTACAATTGCCGGCCAGCGGAAAATCACTCTTTCGGCTTGGGAGCCCCATTTACCACAGATGTGCAACAAGTTGAAAAGCAGAATGCTGCAGCCAACAGGACAGGAGACCAGAAAGGTCTGTCTGTGGATTGAGCCCTCAACCATGCTTTTTGGGTGTCCCTGTACATTTTAGGGGACCCGCAACATCAGCGTTGTTGCACATTTGGTGTGTCAAGGTGTGTCAAAGTAGGGGTAACCACCTTCCCCCACCCAAGAAAAGTGTGGTTTGCCTTCTGGTCGTCCAGCAACCTGAAAGAACCCAAAGGACGATTGTAAAAAAGAAACGGAAAGGAAGGGTGACACACAGGCGATGGGGTTTGTCTGCAAATGGAGGAACCCAGTCCCACAAAGTGCACTCTTATTTCAAAAACAAAAACAAAAAAACATGCCATCTGCGACACACCAATAATTCACTCGCCCCCACCCCTGCCTGCTTGTGAACAACTTCCGACTCCTCTTGCAGCGCATCCCTCAGATTTGTCAGCATGCGCGGGCCTGCAACCCCCCCAAACAAACAAAAGCTCCGAAAACCGCTTATGACGGGTAGAAGTTGGCTGCCACAACAAGCCTGCGAGGGAAGGAAGAGACTCCGCCTGCCTATGTCAACTGCCCACTTTCAATGAGTGTGTGTGTGTGTGGCACAATTTCACTCCATCCCTGACTGTGTGTGTGTGTGTGCGTCTGTCTGTGTGCTCTCTCTTGGCATCATCCAAACTGGACCTCCCACCGCAACGCATTTCACAGAAATATGGTCAAGTCTCAAAACTCGGGCCTGGGGGGGCGCCACACAACGGCCGGTTTTCCCGTGGCTTCCGCTCAAAACACAAAAAAAGGGGTGCCCTCAAAGGAAGACACACACTGCCTCGTCTCTAGCGACGAGCCGCGCTTGTTTGCCCATTCAAATCATGGCCTTGCAGATCCTCCACATGCTGGACTGCCACAAATGGGCTGCGATTTCTTGTTGACTTCCCTTGAATCAACCCCTAAAACGGTCTCCTCAAGACAAATCACCTACACTCTGGCACAAGGACCTCCGCCGAGTGATTCTCAGGTGGAGTTTAGATAGCCTCCCAATAGCAAACACGAAACCTGAAGGGATTCCTTGGAACAGGAACATTCTTTCAGGTTATATGTTTGCTTTCAGAGTTCACATACTGTACACGAGAACCTGTCTGGGTTTATCCTTGACCAACAGGTGAAAAGTGACTAGATCGCAGGGAAGCGTGTCCTCCCTCTCAAAGTTGAAGTGTTGGTCTTCAAGGAAAGTCAAAATACAACCTTTTTTGACACGTAGCCACCAACAACCAGACCTCCACGTCGCCCTCTCCGTCGAACCCGTCGACCCCCCCCCCCCCGGGTTCCGGGGCTCGCGCAGTGCAAAAGGCAGGGAGCGCTTCAGGTGCGGCAGGAAGGCCTCGACCAGAACTCTCGGTCTTTAAGAGAAACCCCCTCCCCCCCCGCCCGGCACTCTCGCGGGCCCACCCACCCCCACCCACCCACACCCACCCACCCACACCCACACCCACCCACACCCACCCACCCACACCCACCACACCCACCCACACCCACCCACACCCACCCACACCCACCCACACCCACCCACACCCACCCACCACCACCCACCCACACCCCCCACCCACACCCACCCACACCCACCCACACCCACCCACACCCACCCACACCCACCCACACCCACACCCACCCACCCCCACACCCACCCACCCACACCCACCCCCACCCCCACACACCCCCCACCCCCACACCCACACCCACACCCACCCCCACACCCACCCACACCCCACACCCACCCACACCCACCCACCCACACCCACCCACCCACACCCACCCACCCACACCCACCCACACCCACCCACACCCACCCACCCACACCCACCCACACCCACCCACACCCACCACACCCACCCACCCACCCACCCACCCACCCACCCACCCACCCACCCCACATTTGCTGAAGTCCCCTCGAAAAAATAACAAAATCAACGGAGAAAAAATTATTGTCCAACTAGAGGACGATTGGCCCGAAAGCATTTTTCCACAGGCGCTCATCCAGCTGCGGAGACACCTTTTTACATCGCTGCGGCGAGCGTGTCTGCGCGCGGCGATGCTCAGTGTGCATGGTCACATGAGATCTCCATCTCATCATCCTACTTTCCTCTCGAACTGCGCCGCACGATTTCTCACAAAAGTGGTCTGCGCAAGCTGCATTGTTCCAGGCTGCTGCGCGCAAGTTGCTCTCTGCAAGCTGAGTGCTCTGTGCAAGTAGTTGCTCTGCGCAAGTGCTCTGAGCAAGTTGCTCTGCGCAAGTGCTCTGCGCCAGTTGCTCCGCGCAAGCGCTTTGCGCATGTGCTCTGCGCAAGTTGGTCTGTGCAAGTTGCTCTGCGCCTGCTCTGTGCAAGTTGCTCTGCGCAAGTGCTCTGAGCAAGTTGCTCTGCGCGCAAGGGCTCTGCTCCAGTTGCTCCGTGCAAGCGCTTTGCGCATGTGCTCTGTGCAAGTTGGTCTGTGCAAGTTGCTCTGCGCAAGTGCTTTGTGCAATTGCTCTGTGCAAGTTGCTCTGCGCAAGTTGCTCTGCGCAAGTGACTCTGCGCAAGTTGCTCTGCGCAAGTGCTGCCGGAGCTGCGGGGGTGTGCTCCGCGTACTACGTTTGTACTTAAAAGTTGCGATTCTCCAGCCGGAGCTGCGGGGGTGTGCTCCGCGTACTACGTTTGTACTTAAAAGTTGCGATTTTCCCGCATACTACGTCTGTACTTAAAAATTGCGATTTTCCACCCGGAGCTGCAGGAGCACGCTCCGCGTACTACGTTTGTGCACACGTGCTCCGCGTACTACGTTTGCACTTAAAAGTTGCGATTTTCCAGCCTGAGCTGCGGGAGCACGCTCCGCACACTACGTCTGTACTTAAAAGTTACGATTTTCCAGCCGGAGCTGCAGGAGCACGCTCCGCGTCCTACGTTTGTACTTAAAAGCTGCGATTTTCAAGCCGGAGCTGCCACGGACCAGGGGGGAATCGAACCCGCGACCGCGGGATTGCGAAAGCAGGCGCGCAAACCACGAGACAACTTCCAAAGGCCGTTTCGCGAGCAAGAATATTGCACGGCGCCACAGCGAGAGCGCTTCGACACGCACAATCTCCGCAGAGGGTTCGCCGAGACTAAGACAAATTCGCACGGCGCCACAGCGAGAGCGCTTCGACGCGCACGATCTCCGCAGAGGGTCGTCGTAAAAAGTCCTCAGTTTTTGAACCTCGACCACGCGAATCTCCGCAGAGGGTCGCGCGCGCACCGCAGAAATCGTAAAAAGTCCTCAGTTTTTGAACCTCGACCACGCGAATCTCCACAGAGGGTCGCGCGCTCACCGCAGAAATCGTAAAAAGTCCTCAGTTTTTGAACCTCGACCACGCGAATCTCCGCAGAGGGTCGCGCGCGCATGCTAAAAATCGTAAAAGTCCTCAATTTTTGAACCTCGACCACGCGAATCTCCACAGAGGGTCGCGCGCTCACCGCAGAAATCGTAAAAAGTCCTCAGTTTTTGAACCTCGACCACGCGAATCTCCGCAGAGGGTCGCGCGCGGCCAGCAGAAATCGTAAAAAGTCCTCAGTTTTTGAACCTCGACCGCGCGAATCTCCGCAGAGGGTCGCGCGCGCACCGCAGAAATCGTAAATCTCCGCAGAGGGTCGCGCGCGCATGCTAAAAATCGTAAAAAGTCCACAGTTTTTGAACCTCGACCACGCGAATCTCTGCAGAGGGTCGCGCGCGCACCGCAGAAATCGTAAAAAGTTCTCAGTTTTTAAACCCCGACCACGCGAATCTCCGCAGAGGGTCGCAATCCCGAGCGACGATCAAACTCCCGCCCCGGCGCCTTAGAAACCTAAACTAACTTACATAGCTGCTAACGCCAAAGCTCTAAGCTCTACCTAACCTTGGCTCTATGTAACTTGGCTCTATGTAACTTGGCTCTATGTAACTTGGCTCTATGTAACTTGGCTCTATGTAACTTGGCTCTATGTAACTTGGCTCTATGTAACTTGGCTCTATGTAACTTGGCTCTATGTAACTTGGCTCTATGTAACTTGGCTCTATGTAACTTGGCTCTATGTAACTTGGCTCTATGTAACTTGGCTCTATGTAACTTGGCTCTATGTAACTTGGCTCTATGTAACTTGGCTCTATGTAACTTGGCTCTATGTAACTTGGCTCTATGTAACTTGGCTCTATGTAACTTGGCTCTATGTAACTTGGCTCTATGAAACTTGGCTCTATGTAACTTGGCTCTGTGTAACTTGGCTCTATGTAACTTGGCTCTGTGTAACTTGGCTCTATGTAACTTGACTCTATGTAACTTGGCTCTACGTAACTTGGCGCTATGTAACTTGGCTCTATGTAAGGGCTCCGCACGGAAGAACCCTTCGCGATGCTTTCGGGAATAGTAACCTCCATTCAATTGAAAAACCAACAGGAACTTTCTCCCCCTTCCCCCAAAAAAAAAGGAAAAATGAACACATGGAAGAAACCACCAACCCCCCCCCCCCTCCCCGCCACGTGCGAATTTCCGAAGCTCGGTGCGAGCGCCTCGCCTGCGGGCCCAGGGAGGCCAAAGCCTGCAGCAGCTGCAGGCCCCCAGCCCGGCACTCGCAGCTGTCCCCTGGCGAAATGAAGTGAAGCTGTTGCTTTTTTGGAGGGTTGTGGAGGATCCTTACTATGAACAATGGTGGTTTCCGTTATGTTTGGTGGAAAAAGCCATGTTTCAAATGGGCAAAATGTATTTTTTAAGGAGCCCTGGTGAAGCTGTTGCTTTTTGCAGGGGTGGAGGGGTGGGGGGGTGGTGGAGGGTGGAGGTGGTGGAGGTGGGTGTGGGGGGGGTGAAGGGTGAAGGGGGGTGAAGGGTCGGGGGTGGGGTGGAAGCTGGGCTGTCCGTTTTCAAATCCCCTGCCAAAAGCGACTAACTTTTACTGGTTTGAATGGAAAAATTGTTTCCATGGTGGGGGCTTCTGCTTTGAAAAGTGTTCGGGGAGAGGCTCGGGCGCCACCCCCAACAACTTCTTAGGCCCTGAAAAGACCCGTGCAGTCGCTGGAAGGGGCAATTGACGCGGATGAAGCCGAATCTAGCCAGCCACCATCCGGTTTCAACTGAAAAACTTGGCTGCCGGGGTCCAAAACCGTTCCTCAGAGTTGGCGCATGTTGGCGCCCTTTGTGCGCTTTTGTCTTAAAGGAAACAGGGAGCAGAGAGCCTCAGATGGGGCTTGCACTCCCTGCCTGACGAGATGCGGGGCAAGATTGTCTCCCGCAGGCAACCTGAACGCAGGTTGAAGAAATGCTGCGCCAACTTAACATAAGAACTTAAACAAATGCCAACTGCCAACTTATCAAATTCGAAATATGTTTGTCCTTATTGCAATTGTTCAACCCCTGCAAAAAGTTCACTGTTTGAAGAGCAAAAACATGAACCAGGTCTTGTTCCCTCTCTTCATGCGCAAGCCATCCAACCCAACAGATGCTCTGAACGCTAGGGGATGGCTTGTCGCTTGTGCAAGGGATGCCGCTTTGGCCGCATCTATTCTTGATTTTGACGCATTTCTCTTGACAAACCCCGTCCCAAGATATAGGACCCAACATCAATAATCTCCTGGTTGAGCAATCGGGAGGTGGCGCGATCGTAGGATCCGGATCACTCTAGGTTCTTCTTAAATTCGGGGACAACATCATCCTTGATGCTAGTCAGCTACCTGTACCTCACTTCTAAACAACACATTTTGTCACATTGGTCAACTTGGCAGATGGTTCTAGTACCCTGGACTCATGAGGGTTGTAGCTCGAGTTTCCTGAAGCATGTCCCCTGAAAACGAATGGCACTGACGGAACAGAATCGAGCTGGACCCCAGTAGCTGAAAGAATATTGGCCCATTTGTTTGTGGCTTTAAGGGAAAGCCAACAGGAAGAGCGCATTCTTTGTGGGCCCCCCTAAAAACGACACACCCGTGGGATAACCAGGTCAGTAGGCCTCAAAGTCCATAGGTCACCGCATTGGTGAAACCGCCGGTGAGAGTGCACCAACTGTTGCGCCCATCCATGCCTTCCAGCAAACCTCATAAGAGAGTAGACGCCACAAATCTTGCGGAAGTTAAGGGGGTACAGAAACAAATGGAAAGGTCGTGATACCTACCTACGCTGCAATACGGGGGTCTGCAAAGGCATGTGTCCCATGTGTTGTCCTGCTTTTTCAAATCTTTTGATTTGGCTTTTAGCAATACCAAGATTGTGAGAAAACCTTTTGTTCTGGCCCACCAAGCAAGGTTGCACGAAGCCAAAAATTATCAAAACAATTACTATTATTATTCCTATTACGATATATATGTGTGTGCATACATACACACATACATGTGTATATATATATATAGGAGCCCAATCAAACTCGACCTATACACGTGTGTGTCAGAATGGAAAAGCACCTCCACCCCCTGGCGCCCGACCAAAACGCGTCGGGTTTTCGCCGAGGCGCCGGGCAGCAAGTCTCTCCGAGCCAGCAGCACCTCCGCGAGGCCCCGCGCGGCGCCGCGGCGCTCCACCTCCGAGACGTCCTCGTTGGTCTCCTCGGATGTGTGTGTGTGACAAAATATGCATGTCATAGGTGAAAAGGGTGAATGTGTTACCTGTATGTGTGTATGTATGTATGTATGTATGTATGTATGTATGTATGTATGTATGTTTGTATGTATCTGTGCGCGTGCGCATGCACGTGGATATGGAGGTTTTGTAAATAACAATGTTGATCATATTATGTTGCTGTATTTTTGTGGCAGCGTTCTTCCGTTGAGTACCTGTACACACGCGAATGCATATATAGAGAAAGAAGGAAAGAAAAAAGAAAGAGAGCGAGAGAGAGAGAGAGAGAGAGAGAGAGAGAGAGAGAGAGAGAGAGAGAGAGAGAGAGAGAGAGAGAGAGAGAGAGAGAGAGAGAGAGAGAGAGAGAGAGAGAGAGAGAGAGGAGAGTGAGAGTGAGAGTGAGATAGAGAGAGAGAGAGAGAGAGACAGAGAGAGAGAGAGAGAAGGAGAGGGAGAGAGAGAGAGAACGACATTTTGCCACCAGCATTCATACACACATCAGACACATACATGAATACATACATACATACATCACATCACATAACATCACATTACATTACAGTACATTACATTGCATTACACCACATACGTACATACACACATTACATGCGTACGGACATACGTACATACATACATACAGACTTGCACTCGTTGCATTACATTACACATTGCGCTACACTACATTACAGTACACTGCATTGCATTGAATTGCATTACATTAAACTACATTACATTGCATTACATTACTTTATACTAGACATACGTACATACATGCATCATACATACACACACGTACACACATGTGTACTCACATACATACATACATACATACATACATACATACATACATACGTACATACATTCAAACATGGAGTTACATGGAACGTGTGAGAGAGAAACATTGCAGTGAACACGTAGATGCCTATGTGCGTTAGTCAGTATGTATCATATACTATAATCTCAAATGCATTGCGTAGTACGCACACTATGCATGTTAACTGCCCTTAACCTTTGAGTTGCAATACCAGCAGCAGGTCGCCTCGGCTCGGCAAAGACACAGACAGGAGGGTTGGGTCTAGACATGGGGGTCAAAGCATGTTGCCTCTGTAGAAGGGGGCATGAACCTAGCTTGTCAGGGCGCTTGCCTTTTTCCTCATGATCTAAACAGGGGCTCACACCGCGGGCTCGTCCTGGCACATCTGCGCCACACTAGCGCGTTTACCGGTGTCCACAACGCGGCCACAAGCCCGGCCCTCATCTCGCCAACGCTCCGCCCAGGCCGTGTTGCGCCTGCGAAACGCCCCATCCAAGATACCTCATCTGATTTTCGACCACACTCTAAGTCGAGGTTTTCGCACCGCCGGGATGATCAAATGATGACTGTCACCAGAGAGCATCCACTTCGCCCAACTTCGCCACTCCCGCCCACTTCTCAGCAAACTCCTTCGACCGTTGAATCCCCGCCCAGCCACACACTCGAACCTGCTGCAATGTCATCTCCGCCTGTCGTCCACATTCTGGAGCACGCTATCTTCGCGCGCCCCCCAACCTTGGGACAGAGTGTGAGTCTTTTTGGCCGCCGCCTCCCTCCCTCCCACGCACCAGTCACACCGTCGTTGGTTGGATTTTCCCGCCATCGGGCTCCTCATCACGACCTGTCTGGCCCCTTTCAACATCTCAGCTGTGAAGTCTCTTCTCACTCCAAGACTCCTCCGCTGCCAAGTCGCCCTCCACTCCGCCACGCTCTCCTTCCCCCAAGGCCATACGCCTCTGCGCATGCCTGCATCCATGGCTTTGTCAAGCCATGCACCTTGGGCTCATAAACCTTGTCAGGGCGCTGGCCTTTTTCCTCTACCAGCCTGATCTAGAAAGAGGCTCACACAACGGGCTACGAAAAATACCCTGCCTGGTTGATTTTCACAACCCGTTTTACTTACCCGGCATGCCAACAAAAATGATGTTTCGAGGTTGAGGTTCAGATTTAGCCACCATAGAGCAAACATAAGTTTGGAGAAGACCCCAGAAAATGGGTGTGCCTGTTTTTAGCCCCCCCACCCCCCCCCCCCCCGCTTGAAATACCGCTTGGTGGACCTCGTCGATCCATCTCGTTTGCCGGCCGAAAGGCTGCGGAGCGCAGCGTCTCCAGCAGGAAGGGCATCATCCTGGTCCAAGGTTCCCAGCCGGAAGGGGAGCTTCGGGAGAGAAAAACCCGCTGCAGCTTCGGGGTGCAGGGAAAAAAGGCCGTGGTTTGGGGTTGCAAAGCAGCTTTGGGGTGGGCCATGTAGAGATGGGCCTGAAGAAATTGGAATGAGGTTGCGGGGTACTGCCTGACATGAGCAAAGGAGGCTGGGATTTTAGCCCCAAGAAAGCCCTTCGATTCGCGCGGGCGGAAAATCGAAAAGTCCCCACTCGGGCTATGGCGGGGGTATGGCCACTGTACCTTTTCGCGCTGCTCGACATCCCATGTCTGATCATTTGCTCATCCTGAGGCAGCCAAATGATGCAGCGAACATATCTGCTAAACGCGTCGACCCAACAATGTGTCAAGATGCATGATGTTTTTTTTGCAGGCTATTGCCATAGCTGTTTTTGGCTGGGACTGTCCACCTCATCTTCAACTCCCCGTTCCTTGTGTGTGTGTGTGACTCAGTTGGGGAATCAACCCAAAATGATCAGCCAAAACAAACACCAGAAGAGTCAGAAGCCTGGAAATGGCCCAGTGCCGTCCTTGAAATGAACGCCAAAACGGTTCCAACTAGTCAAGTCAAGAGCCCATGAAGAGGTCTGTCCAAAGGCGAGACCTATGTGGCCAACCCCAAAAGCGCGATAACCCTAAGAAGAAATCCAGTTGCACCGTACATTGCAGAATCGGCTTAAAAAATCAGATTCTACGCCTTGAATCCAAAGGATGTTCAAATGAGGGGCCTTCCCTTGCTGTAAACCTCGGAAAAATTTGGAAGCACATACTCATCAGGAGTGGTCACCCTTTGGGGGAAACAAACACAGGAGTCCGCGGATTAATATGCTCCGTCGTACTTCACCCAAAGTACCGAATAGTCTTCCAGTCTTCCTCTTGGAATGCCATTCTCCCAAAAGCTCAAGAAGCCGATTCAGTTATGGCTGCTGATGAATTTGGGAACTTCCACGGATACACCCCCTTTGCCTGTGGCGGGGGGGGGGAACCGCCACCCCTCTCAGGAGAGCCTTCGCTTTTCGGGGTGGGGAACCCAAAAGGAGAAAAAGCCGGCGGACTTCCCGGCGGCTTAATTGTTTATTTATATATATATATATATTTATATATACCTAGTAGCTATATATATATATATTTTTAGTAGCTTCTATGTATATTTTATATACATAAACCCATAGCTGCAAACCAAAAAACAGGGTTCCGCGCCGAGACGCTGCTGGTCGCAGATCTCGGGCAGCCCAAAGGCCAGAGACCCAAAGCTCTTCGCCGCCTCGTGCTGGACCCCCAGCGTGGGGTGCAGGAGGCACTCCTCGCCCGAGCGGTCCGTGAATGACAAGGAGAACGGGGATGAACCGGTTTATGGGGAGTCCCAAATAAAGGAAACCATAGGATATAGGAAGGATAGTCCGTTGGGAAAAAAGTTTGGTTGGAGTCCCGAAGAAAGGAAACCAGAAATGATGGATGGTTTATTGGGGTCATTGCAACTCACATTCCCTGGTTCATGGATCGAAAGCCTCATGGAACCGTGCATTGGCTTGAGTTGTTCAAAAACACTGGGAGTTGTTTTGGATAGCCTGATTTACATTGAATTACATGCACAAACTTCACATGATTTGACTTAGGCCCAGTCATAGAACGTATATTCTATTGTTTGCTTCCCTTTGAGTCACTGGTAAAATCTCCTAAGTCTACCCAGTTCAGGATTCGGAACTCGAATCGAATCCTGCAGCAGGGGCATCAGCTCTTGGAGGTACGGCTGCAGCAGCACGGGGTCTGCGATGAGGTTCACCGAGGCGCCCACGATCTGCACGCCCTTCATCTTGGCGTCGTGCGCCTGGAGCGGAGGGAGGGGGGGGCCTGGGACACTTCTGTGATACAGGAGAAGTTGTGCTTCCCAAAGACGAACCCCCCCTTACGGGGAGAGATTCCCGAAGGTATCACAGAAGTGGCTGGATACACTCCGGGTGATCAAGTAATTGGGCTGAAGGAAGTCTAGGGGGGCGGGGGGGGGGAAGGATCTGGTCCTGAAGGCTTCGTTGGCCTCATGAGCCTGTTGGCCCCTACGGAAAAGTGAGCGGGTGGTGAGGGGGGAGGCTAGTTAGCGGGTTTTGGATGATTTCTGCAGCTAAGTCGCTGGCAACGCCCGGCGGGAGGTCCCTTTCTCTGCAACAAAGTCATCTTCACTGCAAAACAAGACCTGACCTGCTTTGTTTCTCCCCTAGATGGTCACCTTCAAAGGGGCCTTGAACAGTTTAGATTGGCGTCAAATGCCTCAAAACCTCAAGGCCACTTCGGCCTCCCCTCTTTTGCCGGGAAAAAAACATATCAGCCACCCACCAAAGCAGAGACCCCTTAAGCACACCGCCAAAAAAACTCGTTTCCTCCCGCCGCTCCAAGCCGCTCGCTCCGGACCCGCCTGCTCCCGCATGGCCCGGCTCACCGTGGGGAAGAGCAGCGCAAAGGCGCAGGAGTCCACCTGGTGCTCTCGGCTTTCGGGGGTCCACCTTTCCCATCCAGTGGGATAACCCTCAAAAGAAAGATGATCCCGGGAGGCGCGCCGTCTTTTTGGTCTGAGTGTCCCCCCAAAAAAAAAAAAAAAACACTTGCTTTATCTGGTTGGTGTCCCAACTAAAACGACAAGGCGTACTCACTTCCCATCGACATGGCCCTGAAAAAGAGGGTACCCTCTGACTCAAAGGGTCCCTAAAAAAAAATCATCCTTCATCCATGTGCTGTGCTAACCGAACTGTTTCTTTGCACTTGAAATTGTCGAAGCCCAAAAAGTGAAAGTCCGGTTTCGGAACTCAGGGAGCGAGTAAGACTAGATTCAAACTTCGCAGGGGGAACGGATGGATCTTTGAGAGCGGATGGATCTTTCCTTTGTTGCGGCTTTGGGTTCAAAAGCCTCCAAGTATTGGAACACCAGGATTTCACTACTATTCAATGTTTAGCCACGTCAAAGAAAACACAAAGTTGGCTTTCGCTTCGGTTTGTCCTTTTGGCTTCCCAAATTCGGGGAGCGAAGTTAGGGCATATTCATACAAACAGAACCCTTGAAATGTTTGTCTTAAACTAAGGTACGCCTACGACCTGGTAAGTGCCCCCCTCAACTCAAAATTAGGGTCTTCCTTCTGCTTTCCCGCTAAAAAAAACCGTCCCCCCCACACACAAAAAAGGTAGCTTGACCGTTGGTGGGGGCTCTGAGTGGGTGGGATGCCACACAGTTAGGCTCCGAGTCGGATTCGTCAACTGTCGGGTCAATCGGGGGTGCATTCTGCAGAAAGATGGCACCTTCATGAGACAAACCCTCCACCTTTGTCGGTTATCCTACCACGGGCCTTCCACTTTGGACATACCTAGCAAAATAAATGTCCTGACCGAATCAAAATCAAATCTCGCTTCTTAGGAGGATAATTGGCCAACAAAAAAGCAAACCATAGCACAACTGTCAATGAAACAAATGGTGGGGTATTCCTCTCCGTGGCAAGATGATGTGCGTGTCCCATAGTTGCTTGTTCGCGGAGAATTACTTGAGGAAAGGGCTTTCCAACTGTTCAAAAAAAAACGAAAGCAGCCCAAAGGCACATGCCAACCTGTCCCCGCCCACGGCTCAGGTTCTATGATAATTAGTGGGAGGGTATCTTTTCCGGACTCAAATCTCCCCCTGACTTCACGAAGTCAATTCTAAACGAGCAAATGTCCTGCCGACCCCAACTCGAGTCTTAGGGGACGTTTTGGAACCAATACAAAACCAATACAAAACAAATACAAGACCGATACTAAATTTCGACACCAGCCAAGATCCGAAAAATGACCTAGATTTCTGCTGCTTGAGTTCCTTGCTCTGAAATTGCATGCTTGGGCCCGAAAAAAAGAAGAAGAAGAAGAAAAAAGATTATAATAAATTTTAAAAAATGCGACACCCCACTGGGGCAGGACCGTATTGATAAATATTATTCGGCCCCCAGGCAAATATGTTCAGTCGGGGGTATATATTGTTGGGGAGAACGGATCACTCTTTGTCGCCTCTCTGGGCCTATCGACCCCAAAGCTTTCAGCTGCAGAACAAAAACAAAAACACAAACCCCCCTAAAATGGGTGGTGTCGCCTTGAATCCCCTTTCAAACCGTTCCAAAGAGGACACCTTCCAAAACAAAAAAACTTGACAGGGTCAGCGTTCGCCTCCAAGCCAACCAAACACGGCGAACGAAAGGTCCCTCCCCTTTGTCCGACGTCCCGAGTTCGAGGGGCGGTGTTCAGGAAGGTGGTGTTGGCCATGCGGTGCAGAATCTCGGTGGCCTTCTCCATGTTGGCGCTGTCCTCGCGAGAGGCTTGGGATTCTTCGGAAAGGATGGGAGTTGTGAGGTCAAACATGGAAACGGAAAAGGGGTCTGGCTGAGATGTTGCGGAAGAGGGGACAGTACTACTGGACTGCTTCCCCCCAACCCTGATCAACAAAAACTGCGGGGGGGTGTCTAGGGGATCGAGGTTCATCGTCTTTTTCTGAGGCGATGCGATTCTGCGGCTTTGTTTTGCCCGGGCAACCAAAAGGAAATTGGGGGGGGGGGGGGGGGTACTCCAATTTCAAAACTCAAGATCCCCCTTCTGGAGAAAAAAAGCCCTCAAAGCCTGAACAATAAAAAGATGGACAGCAAAAACTGGGCTGCCTTCGGATCCCCTGCGAAAAGTCTAACTTGTGAGTGAAATGGAAACTACCACTGATGTTGCCCCAGTTTTTCATCAACCCCAGTTTATTAATAGTGCGGGCAGTCCCCTCCAAAAGTGGTCTGATTCCCCGCATTTCCCCCAGCGAAAAGCACCCCCCTATTGGCAAATCGGGGTTGATTAGGATAAGGGCAAAATTAAACCAACTAAGAACCTAAAAACCTAACAAACCGGATGGCTGGGCTTACCACCAAAACGGAGGTCGGACATCCTGCTTCTTACTCTCACAACAACAAAAAAGCACCAGTCCGAAAAACACGCGAAAAGAACCAAGGAAACCATCCCCAGCCCCCCCTCTCCCTCCCCTCCCTCCCCCTCCCCTCCCTCCCCCTCCCCTCCCTCCCCCTCCCCCGTTTTCCCTCGTTTTTCGGGGACTCCCTATCCCAAAAAGAAACGGACAACGACCCCCCCCTTCCCATTCCAACCGACTCAAACCCGGATCTCCAGGATGGAGGTGATGATGTCGTCCGCCAGGCCCCGGATCTCCGGGGTCTGCGCCATCTCCTTGGCCATGCTCCGCAGGAAGCTCTCCGCCTCCTTCTTCACCTAGCCGCGGGAGAAGAAAAAAAGCGCGGCCAAGGAACACGGTATCAGCTGCCCTCTAATTGGTGGCTTGGATTGGTGTTTTGGTTGCGGCTAACAAGGAAAACGTTCCCTTTCGTCCTAGTTTCCAGCACAGTCTTGGTCAGAAGCACCGTAAAACAGTGGTTTTGGCCCATGTGTCTATCACAAATCACAGCCCCACCAACGGCCGCTCTCAAAAAATAGGAGGATCCTTCACCTCCAAGTGGGAAGAAGTTTTGTCAAAAATAACAAGGAAGACCTTCCATCTCAGATGCCCAGTGGCCATGGGAAAACAAGTCATCCTTTTTTGGTTGGTGGAGCAAAGGGGAAGCGCGCCACTGGGCAACTGGACCGTATCAATTTGTAGGATCCCCGAAATCTGGCAATCCGAGCTCTTGTGAGGCTGGCCCTTTCAGAGTGGTGGTGTGTAAGGGTAAAACCCTAAAGCTAGGACCGCAAGGAGACAATCCGCCCAGTGAAAAACTAGCCCCCGACCTCCATGAGAAGACCTCCATGAGAAGCTCCGCAGGCTTTTACCGACTTCCTCTCGAAAGATGGCCAAACTCGACCAAAGGCTGACAGACTTTGGGGAAAGATCTTTGGAACTTAAAGGTGAAGAGTCTTGGGCTCCAGAAACAAAAGGAATAAACATCACAAACCTGCAACACTGCAACACTCCCATTGCAGAGCTTCATGGTTCTGGAAAATGGTTGGCGCCACTTCTGCGCGAAGCCAGAGTGCCCATGATGCAATATCTCTGTTAGGAGAACGGAAAGGGTGGCTGCCGCAATGCCTCTGATTGACTGCTGCACCCCCACCCGCCTCCCCAATCAATTTCGCTAACTAGCTGGCTTGTCCTTCAGAAAAGGCGGCATTCAACCGAGCTACTAGCCTAGCAGGCCGGAAAGGAGTCAAACGAATTGGGGGTATCTACCATGGTGCGGAAGCTAGCCTAGTCGGCAACCCGCACCCCTTGTCCGCCGCAACGACTGGGTTGTTCACCAGCCATTGCTCCTGCTGGACGGCAGACCCACCTGTCCACATCCCAAAATGACATGCCCGATCCCCTCCCATCAAAACCCGCCTCTTTCCGGGCGTCGCCCACCGCGTCTCGGAGAGCCGACATGACCTTCCTCAGCCATGAGAAGATCAGAGTAATTCCCGAGCGTGATCTTTAAACCACCCAAAGAAGGGAAATGTTCCTGGTTAAGTGATGAAGTAGCAGCCAAGACTTCCTCTTCACACGACTTTGCAATCAGGACAAACATGACGTCCTTGTTCACAACTCCCGGCTCAGATAAGGGCATTCTTGGAGGCCCCAACCTCCCCCCCCAACTCCCAACTCCCAACTTTCCAGCTCCGACCAACCCCCTCCCCCTCTTCCCCTCTCAACCCAACTCCTCCAACCCCCTCCCCTCCCCCTCTCAACCCCCCTCCCCCAGCTCCCAAACCCTCCCATCCCCCTCCCCTCTTCCCCCCATTTCCCTCCCCTCGCATCAAAAATAAAACCCAAGGCTCGGCATCCAGATGCCCATCTGCCGGGGCGTCGCCTCGTTGGCCTCTCGCAGCAGCTCCCGCAACAAGCCCAGCACCGCTACCTTCACCTTCCTCGGCATCCGGGATTCGGGCCGGTTGCCCGGAAAAAACAGAGGGAAAATCTTAATCCAGCTGCAAGCTACCACATTTACAAGCTAGAAGCCAGCAAGCTACAATCTACATACCGACTACAGTTTACCGTGTTGTATGCCAGCTACAAATTACTGCTACAGTTTAATGTTTTGCATACCAACTACAAACAGGGCCCCCAAAGCGATGGCCCCCTCGCGTGCGCGCGCCGAGCGAGGCGCCACTTCCCCGCCGCCGCCGGGCCCAGGTGCTGCAGCAGCACCGGCAGCACCGCCTTCGACGCTTCGACGTCGACGCACCGCGCGGAGCGCGGAGCGGAAAGGCGAGAAAACACGACCACACCGCGGCGGGCTGTGTTAAGGGTACCGCCTTTTTTAGGGGTTTTGGGAGTGGTTTTAAAGGAATTCAAAGGAAAATGGTTTTAAAGGAAAACCACCAGGGTACCCATTTTTGGGAGTGGTTCTTTTTGGGCCACAGGACAACACGCATGTTTTGGGGTAGGGTACCCATGTTGCGGGCAAACTGGGCCGTCCGTTTTCGGATCCCCTGCGAAAGGTTTAACCCAGAAGCTTCCACTAATGTTAACCCCAGATGGCCCTTCCAAAAGTGGTCTGAGGGTGGCTTTAAAGGGAAACCAAAGGAAAACAACACTTTGGGGGAGTACCCCTATTCTGAGACAAACGCAAAAGGGAAGCATCGCGCCAAAAAGGGAAAGCGCGTTTGACAGAACAAGGGCCAAGTTTTGGTTGCGACCGGCGTCAGCCTGCTCAGTAACACCCACTTCAGCCTTCAATGAACCCTGATGCAAAAAAAAATAACTAGGGTTCCTCATGTAGCGACTCCCAGGCCATCCAAGATTCGCGGGATTTTGTCCCCCGACCGCCTCGGGCACGCCGCTTTTGCGGGGCCCGCACTGGCACACCTTGCGGCAGAGGTCCATGGCGGTGCCTGCGGCAAAAAAAAAGAAAAAGGGAGAGCGCGCCTAGCCCCGGTTTAAGGTGTATTGGTCTAAGAGGGTCTGATGTATGGGTGGCGTGTTGTCTTTCGGGCAGACCCCCTCCCGCAGAAAAATGGCTTCGGTTTTCCTGGTGCTTTCCCTTTACAACATCCAAAAAAGGGGAACCCCAAACCAAGAAAGAAAACAGCCAATATGACGCTAAGGGTGTCTTACCTTCTCACGCTCGACGATTTTTGGCAGGTCCAAAGAGAGACAAGTATACTAGAGGATACGACAAAACCAAGCGTCTAAAGAGTCTAATGAGTCTAACCAGAGTTGCCTGGAAGTAGTGTATGCAACCATCAAAACCTCCCCACAAAAACTCGGCATCTCTGTGACAAGTCCCTTTTCCCGCGGGTTTATGTGTCGACCGAATCCAGCCCGGACCCCAAGTTGTCCACTCTTCAATGGAAACCCTTTGGGGGAACCCAAAAGCTTCGTAAAAACCAAGCAGGAAATCCAACCATTTTCCTCAGGTTCAACCACATTTAAATGTATTTCGGAATTTGTTGGAGGCTACCCTTTTGGGGGGATGGAAAAAAAAACTGAGTCAGAATCAAAACCTGGTACTAAAATGGTCTACCCGAAAAATGTAAGGAACTAACAAGGCGGCTGCACCCATTTCTGGTTGGGACTACCCTTAGTAACCTTCATCTACCAGGGTTTTTATTGTGGCTCACCTCTTGGAACCTGCCCACCGCCTCCAGGCTCGCTCTTCAACTTTGCCTCCTCCAGAAGGAGCCTCGGCTCGACTGAGGCTGAGGCAGTCTGTTTTTGAGGGGACATATGGTGTTCCCGGTTGGTTCGCCTTTACCAACCAAAAAGGCTTTACCAACCAAAAAAGGGGGTACCCTCCAAAAGCAGACACGCCCGGCTCGGCGTTCACCGGCACTGTGTTGTTGGGGTGTCGGGATCCCGGAATGTCTTTCCTTTGGGGCGCAAGTAGACTCGCTGGGGCTAATTCTGTGGTTGTGGGGTTTGCCTTGTGAACCTCCACAGAAAACAACGGGAATACCCTCCATATAGTGGGTATCCGATGCTTCGGTCTCGATTTCGAGACAAACCCGGGGGGAACGGCTTGAGGTGTTAGATCCTGGCAACCTCCACGAAAGCCGCGGATGGAAACTTAGACACCACTAAAAAGGCCCAAAACTTGCTCAGGCTGGAGGCCTCTTTAGTGGAAATTCGGCATTCTGCCAGACCGCAAGGCTTCCGATTCCCTTCCGGCTGGGCAATGATCGAAGTGAGGACTGCTTAAGAGCCAAGAAACATCGCATTCTCTCGCGGCTGGTAAAACTTCTCACCTACTAGTCCCTCTTTGCTTCTTTCCGGGGGTTTATTGACTGGTTTCCGGCCACGCTCGCCTGTTCAGATGCACAGTCTTAGCCAGCCCAAGCGCGGCCTTCAACCCAGAACTTCATCAGAATTATCACCCCCCCTTTGAGTCTAGAGTCTACATGGGACAAAACAGCGATCAGGATTGGCAAAAACCAAGTTTCGGGGCGCATTGAACTGAATTTCTGGAACCCTGCCCTTGGCATCAAGAGTTTTCGGCTTCCCCTTGCGAAGCTCGAGACCGTTGTTGCCGTCCAAACGAAATGCGAGCGCACGCTCGCACCGGCCTCCCGAAACGGCTAGGTTTCACTAGAGAAGTTGGGATAATGCGGTGAGACAGCTAGTGCACTTCATCCAAATTGCCCCAATTGTTTTGGAGAAGCAGGATTGCGTGAAGGATCACAATTAGATGCCCGCTGCATTTGCCCGCTGCATTGCTCACCCGCATTCCTATTGTTGCCCTCACAGCATACCCACCATTTGTCTCCTCATGTATTGACTGTTGTCGATCAAGACCACTACAAGTTGGCAACCCAAAAGACGATGTTTTAAATAGCTTGAAGTAAGACATGAGCCATGCCACCTACAGCCCCAAGAATATATCGTGACCCCGACTCCGAATCGGCGCGAGCAAAAACGACGATGACCTTTCGCAAGCTCAAGATCTACGGGGCGATTTGAAGCCACCAAAGTTTTTTTGAAAAAGCCATGTTTTCCGTAATTCAAATTTGTTCGAAACCCTAAGGTTTCTGAGGGACTTAACTATACCAAAAGTGGACCCCTGCAAGCTGGGTCAAAACGGAACCCTGAACACCTCTTTTCGTAACTGCGTGCCTTTGGGCTTCCCTTTTGAATGGGCTAGGAACTCCAAAAATGCGTCACTATGGGGGGTGTTCCTCTTGAACCAACCCGAAAAGGGTGCCCTCACAGGAATCCGTGGAAGCCCTGGTCGAACATGATTTCCAACCAACCCGACGGTCAGAGTTAAAAGGCAAAGCTTCACAGAGGCAAATGTCCCCCCATTTTTCTGGATTCCCCTAGTTGACACCCCCCTCTTGTGGCGTCCAATTTCTCCGCGCTCAAGCCCCAAGCCGAGCGGCAGCAGCGTGGGCAGCGCGCTCAGCACCGCCGGAGGGTTCCAGCACAAGGACCTCACCGTCTTCCTCGGCGTTCGGCTTTCAGCTTTCGGCGTCGGATGCTTCGGGTAATGTTGACCCCGGAATAATAAACCCCTGTTTATTAATATGGGGGTGTTCCCCTCCAAAAGTGATGATTCCCCATATTAATAAACAGGGGTTTGTTCATCCGGGGTCAACATTAGCCGAAATGCCTGCTGGGCTGCAGAGGTGTCCCTAGGAAAAACCACCCATTCGCGTGAAGTTCCCATGAAAGAACCCTAAGCAATCTTTGGCCACGATCCGTCGATCCGAGCGACACCTGACACGTCACCATTTCCTCACTTGCCCAAATCGGAAGCAAAAGCGGCCCACCCACCCGCCCACCAATCCACGCACCCGCGTTTGAAAAGGCTGTCAACTGGGGCGGCACCCTCAACAAAAGACACACCCATATTTTGGGTCAAAGCAACAAAACTCAAACCAGTGCAATCCACCAAAGTGGCTGATAAGGACACCTATACACGCCCAATACTTCAGGGTCAAAACCAAAACGGACCCAAAGCAATCCCCCCAAGACCCACCCCACTCCTACCCCACCACCCACCACTCACCCACCACCCACCCCACCACCCACGTCTTCCACGACCACGTCGTCGTCCTGAACCTATCGGCCCGAGGCGCAGGGCGGCGTCGCGGGTGGCGGCGCGCTTCAGCTTGGCGCTGATCAGCTCCTCCGCCCCGCTGGCCATGGAGGCCACCTACGCGGAGAACGCCGGTCCCTGAGATCCCCCTTCCCGCCGCGCTCTCGGAAGTGAGCGTTTTTCTGCGCTCAAGAATTACCAGCGGGGGGGGGGGTCAAACTCGATGCCCCAGGGCCAAGGTGAACACTCGTACGTCTTTTTGGGTCCAAGAAGACGGTGGGGTAAAAACTTGTTGGTGCGATAGGTAGGGAATGTGGGAAGGAACCTTTTTGTGGGGATTCCCTTAAAGGAAACCACAATGGTTGGATGGCTTCTCTGGGGGCCATGATCATTGCATCTCTCGCAGCTAGAAAATGATGGTGGTCAGAATTGGTTCTTCTATTGGTCCTGTAAAACCTCAAGCCACTACACCTGCACCGCAAACCTCAAGCCACTACACCTGGACCACTACACCTGGTTTTGAAAACAAGTGGATCAGTCAAAAAACGAAACCAGGAACTGTCTGTTTACCGCTAGAATCTCCAAAAGTTGAAAGTCCAGGAACTCAGAAAGTGAGAAAACAATGGGTATTAACCTGAGCAATTGTGAGTCTGAGATATGCATCCACCATCTAGATTGACCTTTCAAACCAACTCTGACAGACAAACCATCAAACTCAAACCCAGCCCATGCCCCAACCAGTTTTGGGGGCTTGCCCCTTTTTTAAGAACCCCCCAACTTGTTTGTGTGTTTGTTGCGGACCTTCCAACTCGCAGCCTTCCGAAAAGCCCAAAAACTGACTTTCTTTAATTAAAAAAAAAAAAGGCTCCCCGATTCGACCCGAATCCCTCCCCTCACCCCCTCCCCACCCTCCCCCCTTTCTCCACCCAAATCCCCCTTTCTCCACCCACATCCCCCGCCTCGTGCTTGATGGCGCTCTTGTAGCTCCCGGCCCCCGCGCCGCCCCTCAGCTGCGCCAGCGCCTCCTCGGAGCCCTCCACCGCGCTCTTCACCACCGCCAACACCTGACCGCAAAACGGCGCCCGGGGGCGGGCAGGGGGCAGGGTGGGGGGACAAAGGGTGCCCTTCGGGCTTTAAAAAGGCCAAAGGGAAACCCGAAAGCCAGTTTGGGAAGCATCCCTCTTTTGAACTTGGGGGCCCTCCTTCCCCTTGGATTCCGTTTTTTTCAACGACCAATTCGAGTTGGTGTTTGAAGCCAACAAGGAACAAAAAGCCGAAACTCTTCCCCTCTTTCGAAGACCCCCCGGAAAAAACTGAAAGAACTGGAGGGCGCAAGGAAAAATAATGAAGACACCAAGACTGCTCCTGGTTTCGAGGGGCACCCCCTCTTGCGCGCCTCCGCGTCCGCGTCGAAGTCCTCGCCAACCGCCACGGGCGCTGCCTGACGCCGTGACGTCAGCTTGGGCATGGGCATGGGGGTCTGTGGCCTTGTCTGTGAACTGCTTGGCGTTGGTCCCCAAAGAAAGGAAACCCACCAGTGGCAGGGTCTTTCTTGGGGTCATTCATGGTCATGGGAGTGAACCCCTTGGTTTGGTCCCTGAAGAAACAGTTGGAGGATTTTTCTTGGAAATTCCATTTCTCACTCCCTGAGCACCAACAAGTTTCGACTTCGCCTTGTTTGGCACACGCGTCTTGTTGTGCCGTCCTCAAAATTCATCCATGTGGGGGGGTTCAAGGGAAGGGGGCTAAATCGGTCAAGATAATGATTCAGGCATCTAGCCCCCTTAAACTCTGGGGGATCCTTGTTGAGGGGTGCGTTCCATTCGCAATTGTTTCCAAATGGCATGCCTTCTGGTTGCTGGTTCTCAGTAGGGGATTTCAGGGCTTGGGGATGAACCTAGGTATCTCTTTTTAACCACAGTTCGGACGTCTTCCCCTCACTCTCTGACAAGGAAGTTGGTACTCTACAAGTACGGTTTGGGTGGGAATCTCTGGGTTCACCAATGGCTGGGAACCAGCAAGTTGTTAGGAACTCTCTCTCTCTCTCTCTCTCGCTCTAGCTCGCCAAAGAGAGCATCTGCAAAGTGCCCAACCTAGCCCTCCGTGAGTCCATCTCTGATGACACCAAGAGCAGCTTTTTAGTTGGGACCCTCTGGGCTCAAGAGAAAACATTCCCTTCGCCCCCCCCTCGAGGCCAAACCGCTAGCCCCAGCACCCCCCGCCCCTCACGCCTCTGCAGCAGCCGCCTTCTTCGGCGCCGGCTCCGAAGAGCCTGGCGACTCGAATGGGACGCAGGTCTTGTCAATACCCCCCACAAAAAAATATACAAACATGTAAAGGGGCTAGCTAGGGGGAGTGTTGTTGTGTGTTGGCTATTATGGTTGCATGTTTGTTCTCAATCTGTGTTCCTCCCTATTCGTTTTTGAAAAGGGGTGTTTTGGGGAGCTTGTATATCGTTTTGCTCGATGTTTTCGTCTCGCCTGTTTCATTCTCGTTCTGGGGTGTGACGTCCTGTTCATTTGAAAGACGTTGCCGTTTTAGTTGCGTTCATGTCCGGGGTGTTGGTGGCGCATTTGCTTTGACATCGTTCTGAGCGTTGAGATGTTGTAAAAAATGAGTTCAAGCCATAGCCAAATGAAAGGTTATAAAGATTTCCAAAGTTTAACCGTTACAAACACGATATGTCGACACGATATGTAGCTAAAGAACTTACTGATGAAAATTATTGCGACGCCGTGTCGGGTAAACCAGAGGAGAAAACGTCTAGAAAGAAAACACTAGACGATTTACAAAGCCTTCATTTATCATCGGCGTCATCCACACCATCTGAGACAGAGCAAGAGAAAGAGAAGACAGGGGAAAGCCTTGAAATTAAGGCAGTAAGAAGGTTGTTTTTAGGCGGGAAAGCAAAGAGTGTGATAGGTTTAGACAAACGCGAAAAGAAGTCATCCTCACCGTCTGTTCAAGCTGAAGAACAAGAAGAACAACCCAGAGCGTCTCGGTCGCCCGAAGAACGAACGCCGTGGTTTGCGTGGAGCAGACGGCAAATGGAAGCGAGGAGCAGAAGCAAAGCGCTGACACCGGAAGAAGCGGAGGCAAGAAGAAGAAATGAACCTACTTTAAAACAGCAACAAAATATGGTAAAAGTGGCCTGGGAGTTTCATTGGCGCCAATCAAAAACATGACTAACGAACGACGAGTTTGATATGATGTGGGAACTTTTAAAAGCGGAAAAACCGCTTAGTCTTGCAAAGTCTTAAGTTATGACAGATACAACTAACCCTTTTCGTGGCGCTTCTTTGACTCCGCTACCGTCTGGGTGGCAGCATCAATGTTAAAAGCGAAGAAGAACATAACAAGCATATATCGCTCAATGTCTACTACATCAACCCCGGCGCAACGGCAGGAGCCTCGCGGACTACTCGCGACACCAACAATATAACTGTTAAAGAAGCAACAACCGACAAGCAAAGCGCGACATAGATTTGATGACATTGACTAGTGACGATGAACAAAGTTCATCCTCAGGGCAAAGGAGTCGAAGTGATCGTGTTCGGCGCGGACTCCCTGTTTTCCGCGATCCATGGCCTGGAGGCCGTCATGTGAAACTGTCTACTTCAGCTCGAGCCTTCATGGAACGAGCATGCAATGTGGTGCAACCTGGTACCTTTTGACTCAGGTTGCCTGTTCTGCAGCTCTGCTGCGTCTCTCACTGTGGCCCTTTGGCTCATTTGACATTCGCCAGAGGCCCATTGCTGAAAGCTGCCTGAGAGGGGTGCGATCGATGCTTTTCTTGTTCAAGCCATCTGCTAACAAATCTCGAGTGTCCACCCACCAAAGCGTCTCCACCTGCTTCTGCAAGAGTTCACGCAGGCTCAAGGCGTGAATGAGCATACCCTGGTCGGTGGGCACCTTCACCTCTGCTCCAGATACACTGTCTAAAACTGACCTCGCGTCAATAACAGCATTGAGACGAAGAGCATGTTTGCCACCTTCGTGCACTTCCAAGAGTTGCTTCACGTCTCTCACACCCGTGAGGATCTCGGTCAAGGCCAAATTTACGTTCAGCGCATGACCGACAAGGTCCAGAAGACTGTAAAGCTCTGCAACGTAAGTGCTGCGGCAACCTCTGTTTTGCTTCTTCGCCACAAAGTCTATCACTTGCACTGTGTGATCACCGCACCCAAATGGCTGTCTGCTCATGAGCATGATGACCCCACTCCGCATTGCAAGGCAATCTTGTGTGTCTGACTTATAGGCGCTATCCGACACTGCAACCAACATCCAAGGTGAGGAAACCTTGCGAAAGATCATGCCTTGAGGATTGAGCTTCAAGTACCGGAGCACTCTGTTCAAATCCACCACATGCTGCTTTGCCGGTTCCTGAAGATGTCGCTGCAACGCCGACACATATACTGCTATGTCTGGACGCGTCTGAACCACCCATGCAACGCCGCCAAGCAAAGAGCAATATGCAGAGGCTGTCTCGGCATCGACCTTGTCGTTTGCATCCAACAGCTTAACGCATTCCTCCTTCATTGGCTTCGGCTCAGACACGTAGTGGTCCTGACTAAGCACACGACTTCCATCTTCCCGGGTCTCATGCCGAATCCCGAGATGAGTGAAGTTGTCCCGATCCAGTTTCAGCTGATCAAATTCTCGGTGCTGAGAGGTGCTTGTCGGTGCTGAGAGGTCTCATTCCTGCTTTTGCCAACACACGAGGTTCCACAAACGAGGTGCGTCCCGCAAGCCAAAACCTGGTTTGAGCAACTCGAGGCACTCCGTTGAGCTGTCAAAGTCTTCGATTCCCGGCAGTGCTCTCAAAAGCTCATCTGTGCCTGGAGGAAGCAGAAGTTGTACTGTCCGCATTTCTGCGCTGTAACCTTCCTCGAAAGGTTCACGGAAAGTGAGTCCTCTAAGAAAGGCTTCGCTTACATCTGCGGATACCAACTGCCAACCAAACTGAGCTGAGAAGATCACCACCAAGCGCTGACCCCAACGTGACGTTGTGCCCGCAAAGTTGTCGGTGCGTTGTTGGTCCTTAAACCCCTGCGCCACAAGCCTCGCTTTGATATCACGACCTGACTTCATGTCCTTCCACTTCAAGACCCACTTCGAAGTCAGAGGATTGGTGCAGTCAGAACGTGGCCTGCGTCGCCAAGCGTCGTGCTTCTGCCAGCGGCCCAACTCAGCCACCATTGCTGTGCGGCACTTGTCAGCTTCGGCAAGAGCCTCATCTCTTGTCAAGATGTTGTTCACCCTCTCAATCACCGGATATGCTGCCTTGCCGCGTGCATACTGCAATACCAACTCATGATTCACTGGCAACGTTCTGCTGTTGCTGCCAGCAACAAACGTCACATAGTTCATGAAGTGTGCGGGAATGACGAGTTCCGGCAGGAATGACTCAAGTTCCTCTGAAGCAAGAACACACGTGGTTCTTCCGAGACTGGACTGACCAGCATCGGGCATTCCACTCACATATGTCCAAGTCAGATCTTGAGATCTTCTCTTAATGCCGGAGATTTCCCACTCGTCATCGTCTGCCTCCCACTCATCATCATGATTGATGAAACCATGACCCTCGACCGTATCCGATCCGGCAGAGGTTGCTATTGAGCCGACCTGAGGTGTACCAATATCAAAATTCGGAACGCCAGCGGGATGTTCTTCGAATTCTGCCGACTGTGAAAGCGATGCATCTGCTGCGGCCCCGTCCAAAATCATCCTGACCCTGGATCTGCCTGGGCCCGTGCTTGTTGACGATGTATGCACACTTCCACCATGGCGATGCTCGAAGAGTTCATCCGACAAGCTGTCAAAACTCCGAAATCGTCCATCTGCGGTGATGAGAAACTGCAAAACACACATTCGTTCCGGGCTGCAACCAGTCAAACGCTGCACGTTTACATGCGATGTTCCGGGGGCATAGCAATACTGCCATTCTTGCAACTTCCCTCGCGGCCACCCAAGCAAGTAAGTCGCATCGCAGCTGACTGCTGCCAGAGACTGACAGCCACAACCGAAACGAATGCCGTATGCGCCCTTGATCATAAGCACGTTCTCTGCCACAAATAACCCAGCACAAAGAACATGCGACATCTGTCTATTTGCTTCGCACTGTATCCAGTCTCCTTGATGAGGTATCCAACCTAGACGCACATGGAAGCCCTGATGATCTTCCACTGCCATGACAAGGATCGTCAGAGGATCATCATGCGCCCGATGTTGTGACAACAACTGCAAGTAAATCAGTGCTCGGCGAACGTCCTGAACCCGACACAAAAGATTTCTGCCTTGCCATCTGATGCCAATGATACCGTCACTCTTGAGGTCACGTCTGTGACTCGTGCTGGACCACGCCAAGCTTCGATGTCCTTGTTGTTGGGTCGCCGCCAGAATTCAACTTGATCGCCAGGCTGCAAATCTGTAAGCTCGCCTGCTGGGCGTGTCTTGTGCCGCTCCGCCCTGCTCGCGCGAACCTGAGCTGTAGCCTGCATCATGGATTCTATGGCGGGGTGTCGCAAGCGGAAAGCGTCCAGATCATCTGGCAGCTCACCGGTTTCCTCTGCCAGCACGTTGAGGATCGGTGGAGTGCGTCCCAAAACTGCTTCAAAGGGGCTGTATCCTCCACAGGTCGTCAGAGCATTCTTTGCAAATATGGATTCTGCAAGAATTTCCTCAAATCCGACTCGCAATCCGTCATCAGTTGTCTGCTGTTCCATCTTGTGAAGCTGCTGCCGCAGAATTTCGTGATGTCTCTCAACCACCTGAGCGTGCTGCCCAGGCGCACGCAGGGTCAAAGCAATTCCCCTTCTCTCAAGCCATGCTGCAATGTGATCATTCGCAATACCACCTTCTTGCTCTGCAACAATCAGGCGTGGAGGTCCGAAAATGCTGATCCAGCGCGTTTGAAGCTGTTGTATAATTTCGTCCGTGCTACGCGACTTCAAAGTACATGCCACCGTCCAACGCGTGCAGACGTCGATGAGATGCAACACCACGTAGTGACGATAGAACAACAGATCTACTTGCACTTCCTCCCCGAAGCTGGTTCGTAGAGTGGACGAAGTCATCGTTCTTGGTCCGGGCCTGGACCATGTCCTGCATATGCGGCAGGTACCGACTATCTCCGCCACCAGGCGTAGTACATCACGTTCAACACCCGCAGCTGCCAGCAGTGTGTGCATCCGACTTAGCTTCCGAAGTGCTCGCCGTACTTGTCCCGGCCGAGGTGATCGAAGAAGTTGAAGTGCCGTTCCAAGATCAAAT